TGACTACACTCCCCACGATGACCGGACGGGTCTTTTGACTCAAAAATAATGTTAATAGTAGAGATAGCTAAGATCGACTTTCAAGTTATTTTTAAGAAAGTATCTTTGATAGATTGTTTTTAAATACTTTACNACCTTTTTACCTGCTTTGCTCTGTTTTTACTAGTAATTTTTCTTCTTGTCGTGTCGACAACAAACCTACACAGTGTCAGCCCAAAACTGCTACAAGAGTGGCGTTGTCAGTAGCATTCACTAAATTTTCCTACGTGCAGTAGATTGGGCACGCAGGGCACGACATCATGTATCATATTAGTACTTAGAAATCACAAACTCAAATCAGCCGTAGTGGACAGTCATGTTTGACACTTGTTGACCTATCAGTTGTCGCGACGAGACTATACGAACATTCATACACTGGAAGATACTTACACTAACATCGGAACATAATTCCAGCGATACACGAACATAAATACGTAAATAAAACTAAAGTCCACAGATAGATAGCGTTGCGCGAAATCAAAGCGCTTCGGTCGATTGTACCTGTCAAAAATGTGTACAATAATGACCTTTGTACGTTTCATTTTTAGTACTAAAATTACTTTTGTGATGCATCTTAAATACGCGCCGGGGTTTTCGTGTAAATACAATATGATGGTTAACACCGGATGGGCTTTTGTTTATAGTATTTTCCCATACCCCACGTGTATAGCAGCCTTAACAATGAAACGGTAACACTCGCGTGTCATCAAATACGTTGGCGAAATGTTGACAGGTACAATCGACAGTCTCAGTGTATAATTGACACTCAAAATCAGACCAGCAGTCGCGCACTCACACAGGATTCCACATACGACTAACATAGAACTAAATAAATACGATTCAGGCGGCCGTTTCTCAGAAACGACGCGTCCAAACAAAGTAAAAGCCTATTAAAATTGTTAGAAATTTGGCTTCGGTCCTACATATAAACGTATATAGAATATTGCTCAGTTATCAAGGCGAAAATCGAACGTATTAACAATACGGAAAAGTCCGAGAACCAAATCCCTTACAATGTTGTGAAGGGAATTTATCTACCTATGCGGCCTTCGGCGCCCGCGAGCCCTATACTAGACATAATACGTACAATCGTATTGACCTGGATATAAACCGCCGTGCTAAGCAAACCGTATGCTTTGCGATTATCAAATTATGTACATTGGTATTCGATGTTCTGATCGTAATGCAGTGTGTCGATATGTGATGATTGGATCGATTTGTTACGAGTATAAAATGATCGACACACTGCAAGTTGAATGGGCTACCCCCCTAAAATCACAACACGCAGTGTCGTTAGAATATTGATTTGTACACGTGTATTTCGAAGTCAAATCGAGGATAATATGATAGAGAGTAATATTTGTTTTTATGTCAGTGACGCTACGACAGTTGTGTCGATAAAAATGTCGATATAGGCATTTATTTATTTCTCTAGAATTTCAAAAACAATTTTAAACTTCTTATTGTGATGGATCAGTGAGGTTATTTTTTTTTACAATGACGATAGTTTTTAGTGATAGACGATAGATGATGGTATTAGCATTAGTGGGATATCCTCAGCTGGTGATTAGGTTTATCGCAAATTTTATCGACACATCCAGTAGTGACCACCTACATCGATATCGGCACGAACCATTCTCACAACACTATGATATGGTTCCACTCTACAACTAACGGTTAATCTGTAAGCTCTTGTGAATTGTCAACGTATTATTTGACGTAAATGTTCCAATACCAGAAAATCTGATAGATTACAATGAAAAATAAGTGATTGACACCACTCAGCAGTCAGTTACCAATAGTTCGTGACACCCAAAGTGACCAAGAGTTGCCAACACAACCTTATTCCAATTGTAACAAAGACGTGTTGCGAGCTTTTTGTCTACTTTGGGTGTCACCAACTATTTGACGCTGCTGTACAAATGACATTGACTTTTAGTGAACTGTCAAAATGTTGTGTTACATAGATTTGTTTACAATTTTAATGGTAAATCAGTTTTTAAATATAATTTTAAACGTGTGCATGGATGGGATTTAGAAATGAATGGTGTCAATTATGGTGTAGAACCCAAGGCCCGGCCAGTTTATAATAATGTAAATTTATTTTTGAATCTCTATTGGTTGAATTTAACAAAAGATGTTCTGGCAGTAGAACACTTACGTTTACATACCGAGCTTTGTTTTCATATTATTGTTTTAAACTTACAATACAAAAGTACATAATACAATCAAATACACGGAAAGAACTAGCTTCTAATGAATACATATTAATATATTGATTGCGTGAAAGAGACGCAGCATGAGTATGGCGCTGTCTCGTTCACACACAAGGTAAATATCATACAATCATATCCCTATCAAATTACACCGTCGATTCACATCGAAAGGAGATCGTAAGGCAATTGTTTAATGGTTCAAATTGGCTTGCGTTTCGATTATCTTTACAGCGTTGCTAAAAATGACATTATCATAAGTGAAAATGCTACTTGCTTCACTCATTGACTTCGAAGTTAATATAAAAAGTTACGATTATTGCTATAATACAATCCTTCAGACAGTGTCCAATTTGTGATATTTCACACATTTTAGGCGAATCCAGATATCCTCTTTTCACATACAACTTCCTCGCTAGTTACATTTTAAATGCATCCCCCTTTAAAGTTGCCTCATGTATACTCAGCACAAAATTTAGTTGGGAGTCAGATATAAATCAAATACGCATGTACATATGACGCTGACTGTGCATGACTACTGAACCAATCTGAGTCAATTGGCTCGTCATTTCTACACGACACTGGCCAGCAGTATGGTGTAGAAAACTAAATAATCATTAATATATANATCATTATTTTTTTTTATAAATTTACGAATTTCCTTTACCAAAAATCTAGTATATTTCTTTCCCCGCTCTCCCTTACTTCATACTATAAAACTATCTTATGTCGACATACAAAATTATTAAAATCACACATCGTTCATTCACGAATCACGATTCACCACAATATTATCTCAGTCAATGTTCGCTTCAAATGTCAAAACGCCAGCCACTGATCTGTGTCATAAACTTGTCACTGTCAAATATAACTTTAGGGAGTTTAGAGTTTATATTTAAAAGTCAGATTGTTAATACTTTGATTTAAACCAGCACATCAATTTATCACTGCATGACGAATTTCCTCAATCGATTTTGAGGTTTATACTAAAGGCATAAATATCAAAATCCGTTGAGGGAATTTGTCATTTTAGGTATTTATTGGTCTGCTGAATGCCCATAATATTACAAACTAGTAGATTCCCAATAATATACAGTTCATTCACCTCCGGTTTTTCGAATGCCAATCGAATTGGTGACGTCAAATGTCACGACAGCTGCTGCTTTTGACAGATATCGATCAAGAGGAGCAGTTATCTTGAAACTTGTGATATCAAGTCGATCGACATTCCAGATACCGTTGGATGATGTTTTTATACAGATTTGCCAAAAATTGCCGCAGTGTAATTATCAATAGTGCACACGACATTTTTCGCACAGTTTGTTTCTTTCTACACAATAGGGACGTCAAACGAGCTGTTAAAATGACAAACGTCTTTGACTTATGACAATCACCTCGTTATCAACTTGACAGCCGAGATCAGCGTCTACGAAGTATGTTTATAAATTGATAACTCGAAGTGCCATCTACAACAAAACAAGTCATCTTTACGAGTCATAACCGTTTGCACTTTCATCAGCGTTCAATGTCACACTATAACGAAATCTAACGTATTGCGGCAATTTAGTGACAAATATTTATAATCTGTGACATTATCAGTATAGATACTATTAAATAAGCTGCAGAATCGTGGACGAGTCTCTTTTGTCTGTATACTGCAACACCGAGAGACCACACCCAGGATAATTCTCAAATATACACCTAATTTCCATTAGACAAGGTGCACAACGACTTACGTTATAATATTTACATGTCCACCGAGTCTAGTGGATATCACTTTATTGGAGTACACCTTACATTATGTTCGTATGACTAGCCTAAGTAATAATTAGTGGAACAGTGACGCTATAGATAACCTCCACTGTTCGAAACCTAGCATGATATAATGCTATATCGAATTTACATCTAGTTCGATTAGACAAGTGGCAATAACTATGCAATTTACAGGTCCACCAAAATTAGTGGATATCACATTAAAGGATTACACTTAACAGCGATTTTACAACACAGACCAAGCTGGAAATGTCCATTAAACAAATTGCATGACGACCTTTATAATTTACATCTCCACCAATCGTAGCGGATTATATTTGTTCCCCACTGTTCAGTAGTATATCGCACTGGATGACGCAGCTGTCCACTATTTTTCGGTAGCTATTACTTCAGGATTATACAAAAGCGCACCAACTGGATATCGTGCAAGAAATCGCACTCGATGACACAGTTATCCACCGTTTTCAGTGGCTGTTACTTTAGAATTACAAAACAAGAGGATATCGCACAGGATTACTCAATAGTCCACCATTATTCAGTGGCTATCCTTACAATTACATTATAGCGCATCAAGTGGATATTGGGACACCACACTGGATTGCCACCAATTTCAGTGGCTATCAGTAAAATTTAAAAAATCGCCAATTTGATTACTTAATTTCCCACTGTGTAGTAGTAGGGATAGCCACTGAAAAGGCTATTTTTAGTTACACAATAGCGCTTCCAGTGGATATCTTAGCTATCCATCTATTTCCAGTGGCTATCCCATCAATTACACAACAGGGCATCAAGTGGATCTCTTAGCTATCCACCTTTTTCCAGTGGCTATTTTTTGAATTACATAATAGCGCATCTAGTGGATATTTTAGCTATCCATCTTTTTCTAGTATTACATAATAGCACACCCCGTGGATACCTCAATTTTTCTGTGGCTACTAAAAGTACACAGTAGCTCCCAAGTGGATATCTTATTTGCGCATCAAGTGGATATCATTTTTTTTTACTGTGGCTACTAATTTACACGAGAGCACACCCAGTGGATACCTAAATTTTTCTGTGGCTACTTTTTTACACAAGAGCACACTCAGTGGATAAAAATGACACAACAGCACACCCAGTGGATATCTTATTTGCGCATCAAATGGATATCAAAATTTTTCTGTGGCTACTAAAATTACACAACAGCGCATCTAGTGGATATCTCAATTGCGCATCAAGTGGATACTTAAGTTATCCACCATTATCAGTGGCTACTAAATTATATATTATATAGATATCTCAATTGCGCACCCAGTGGCTATCTACCGAACGAGTGGGTCCCATAACCTAACTAACCTAGGCAGCGGCGGCTTAGCACGGCGGTCGCGTGTGGGCCCGCGGCTGTGGCAGCGCGCGGGGCGGCGGGCCGCGTTACGGGTGGCCGTGCACGCCGGGCGTCGTCGACCCCCCGGACGAGCCGTGGCCTGGCGGGAGGAGGACCTGCTGTGGGAGAAAAGGAGAGTTACATCCATAACGATATTTATTTCACTCAACAAAATGTAATAGGGATGTTTCCTGGGTCAAAAAGCAAGAGTTTTAATTAGTCCGTCAGTTAACTTATCAAAAAATACTCTACACGTATTTTTCACTTTTTCAAAGTAATGAAAATTTAAAGAGATAAAGCGCGCCAAAGTTCAAAAGAAGAGGCCCGTGACGTCAATGAGTGCTTAAAAGTGCCGCACTTTGTGACGTCGCGTGGAACTTCAACGCACCATAACTATGTAATAATTTGTTAGATTGACAAATAAAAATACACGTGTCCAATATTTTTTGATATTAAACATGACGGACAAAGAAATTTTTTTAGGAAACTAGTCTATTGTATGTGTATTGATTCAATTGTAAGTGTATTTATTATTGGTTGAAGTGTATGTGATTAGACTGTACCATAGCCAACAGTGTTAACTATCCATTGCCTGTCATGTCGTCTCGTTCTATCGCAAAAAACACCATTTGATGAGAGTTAGAGCAAAAACGGAAATGGATAGTTTACAGTGTGGCCGTGTGTACCTGTGTGATTAATCTAATATAGTTATAAGCTGCAACATATCCGCTCCATGATGAAAAAATTACTAACCAGTGTTTCTCAATGTGTGAATGTATTTTCTGTTTTGAGAAATGAATGCCTTAAGCCGCAAATCAATTTTTTCAGTACTTAGGCTCTTAAGCGAATTGGACCGGTTAACCGGTCTGGTGGTGGTGGTGTGAGCCTGGACCTTACCCTGAGCGCCACAAGGCTCACAGTCGCGTTTCTGCAGCGGGTGGTGGTGATGATGCAAACCTGGACTTAATCACTAGCGCCGCAAGGCTCACAGTGGTTTATCTGCAACGGATGGTGGTGGTGGTGCAAGCCTGAACCTTATCACTAGCGCCGCAAGGCTCATAGTCGCGTATCTGGTGGTGGTGGTATGACCCTGGACCTCATCCCGGCGCCACTAGGCTCACAGTACCTGCAACGGGTGGTGCTACGAGCCTAGACCTTAACACTAGCGCCGCAAGGCTCACAGTCGCTAATCTGGTAGTGATGGTGTGAGCCTGGACCTTATTCCGGCGCTACAAGGCTCACAGTACCTGCAACGGGTGGTGGTACGAGCCTAGACCTTACCACAAGCGTCACAAGGTTCACAGTCGCGTATTTGCAGTGGCTGGTGGTGATGATGCAAACCTGGACCTTATCACTAGCGCCGCAAGGCTCACAGTCGCTTATCTGGTGGTGATGGTGTGAGCCTGGACCTAGTCTTTAGCGCCGGAAGGCTCATAGTCGCGTATCTGCAGCGAGTGGCGGTGGTGGTGCTAGCCTGGACTAGTGGACCTTATCCCGAGCGCCACAAGGCTCACAATACCTGCAGCGGGTGCGGGTGGTGCGGCGGGCTGGCGGTGGGCGGCGCGTGGTTGAGGTAGGCCACGTGGTGGTGGTGGTGGTGGAGCCTGGACCTTATCCCGGCGCTACACGGGTCACAGTACCTGCAGCGGGTGCGGGTGGTGCGGCGGGCTGGCGGTGGGCGGCGCGTGGTTGAGGTAGGCCACGTGGTGGTGGTGGTGGTGGTGCGAGCCGGCAGCGCCCGGGCCCATCAGCGGACACAGCACCTGATACATGGACTGCCTTTTCAATCGTTTGCCCTTTTTGTTTACTGAACGCTCGGAGGCGATACGTTTTATGTGGCTAACAACTGGCAATTTTATTTATTACATAGATTATTCATTTATCGATAAGTTTAGATTAAGAATTTGTGTGCTCAGCAAAATATTTCATTTCACAGCTTCAACGAATAATGTCATTTTCTAACACAAGCATGTTTGCTGCGTATCTTTCTCTCGGAGACCAAATGCCATGAGAAGTAGCGGAAGAAACTTATGCCCGTTTGAGCAGGCTTCCCAATAGGTGGACCGACGTCGCGAGTCACGGGAAACACCTTAATGCGGGCAGCGCCGGACCGATCGTTGTGGAATCCTTGGGGAAACTAATGAACGTACTATAGGCCACAGTCCCAGCTACCCATTTTCGGTCATGACGTCTTGTTCTACCGCAAAGAATCACCATTTGTAGAGAGCGAGAGAAAAAACGGAAATGGGTAGTTGGAACTGTGACCCACTGTACATTCTCGAGTGGCAACCACAAGTCGAAAGACGTGGGCAGGCCGCCCACTAGATGGAACGACGTCGCGGGTCATGGGAAGCACCTAAATGCGATCGTTATGAAAATCTTTGGAGGAGGCCCTTGTCACTTGGTTGACAGTAAGACGTCATTTGGCTGAAACTAACGAATAGTTCATTCGGCCACGGTCCAGCTACCCATTTTCTGGTCATGTCGTTTCGTTCTATCGCAAAGAATTACCATTTGATGAGAGCGAGCGAGAGCAAAAAACGGAAATGTGTAGCTGGAACTGTGACCCACTGTACTATTGTACCAGTGGCCGAAAGTAACCACGAGCCGAAAGACGTAGTGTGGGCAGGCCTCCCACTAGGTGGACCGACGTCGACCGATCGTTGTGGAAATCCTTAGGCCCAGAACAGACGGTGAAAGGCAACTGCAACGAAACTGCAACTGCTAGTTACTTTTGAGTTGCATCTAAGTTTCTGCCATAGCGTCCGTTGAGAGACCACACATGACGCGACCAGTTTGAAACTTTCAGTTTCATTCATCAGAATCATCACAAAGTTGCAGTTTCGTTGCAGTTGCGTTTCACCGTCTGTTCTGGGCCTTAGAGGAGGCCTTTGTTCAGTAGTGGACGTCATTTGGCTGAAACTAACAAACGTACAGTCGCGGAATGAAAAGGTTCGTCACCTTAGTGTCGGTTTTCGCTTGCACTAGGTACTGTAAGAGTCAAACCTGCCAACATAACCGTGCAAGAAACAGTGCTGCTAACATTTAAATAAATATGACGTTTGCTAACGAATAAGGTTTTGCTTGTTTATTTTTCTATCCCATCAGTGCAATGTTACAAAATGTAGTTTTTTTTATTTAATAGATAGGTAATGGCAGGTTGAACCAACAAGAAGGTTTTAGTTTATCAATCATAATAATCTTCTTGACAAGTTAAATCGTCAAACAACTTTGATCTAATTTTGAACTTTACTGGCGAACAGTTAAAGATTATTTTCTCTAACTCGAGATTATTCTGTAACATAGTTTCAAAAGGTAATATGTGCTCGCGATTCGTTGAAGGAATCAATTTGAAAGCTGACGAACCTTTTCATTCCGTGACTGTACATTCAGCAAGGTTGATACCTGGAAAGGCGGCTGCTGGTAATGATGGTGCGGATGGTGCGGCGCGTGGTGCGGATGGTGCGCGTGCTGCGGATGCGGCGTGTGCGCCGGCGACGGCGGCGGGTACAGCGCCGGCGACGCGGCCGCGGCCGGCGACGGCGCCGGGGGCGGGGCGTAGCCCACGCCGGCCACGCCCACTTCGCCGCCGCCCACGCCGGAACCGCCCACGCCTACGCCACCGCCGTGGTACATCCGCACCTGGTGGGGGAACTGTTGGTGAGAGCTGAGTTTTTGTTTCTTGAACAGTCAGCGTCAAATAGTTCGTAACAGATAAAATCGTTTCAGCTCGGAATGACAACTTCTCAAATGTCTATTTCTCACAATGACAAATTCGCATTTGCTCCGGCGTGGGCGACGGCGCCGGGGGCGGGGCGTAGCCCACGCCGGCCACGCCCACTTCGCCGCCGCCCACGCCGGAACCGCCCACGCCGACGCCGCCGCCGTGGTACATCCGCACCTGGTGGGGGAACTGTTGGTGAGCGCTGAGTTTTTGGTTCTTGTAGACAGCGTCAAATAGTTCGTGACAGATAAAATTACCATTACCAAAAAGTTGACAACACAACTTTATTCCAATGAGGGCTATCGTTTTAGCGCTCACCAGTTAGCCACTGTAGAGTAAGGTCCTGTCACTTGCTAGTAGCGAAGACAGTGGCACCAACTGGTGAGCGCTAAAGTGGTAGGAGGACTATCGCATTTGCACTCATCAAGATGGCGCCACTGTAGAGTAAGGTCCTGTCAATCGCCAGGGGTGCCAACTGTTAAGTATAAAAACGATAGCCCTCATTGTAACAAAGACATGTTGCGAACTTTTTGGCTACTTTGGGTGTCACGAACTATTTGACGCTGACTGTAAGATGATGAACACATTGAATTTATAAAATGTAATTAATGACCAAGATCTCAATCTTCGTAGAATGAGGGCTACCGTTTTTATATTCAACAGTTGGCACTAATAGCGAGTCCTGTCACTGGCCCTTAAACTACAGAGTCGCCATCCTGATAAGTGCAGATGCGATAGCCTTCCTACTGCTGCACCAGTTGGCGCCACTTTCTTAACCACTAGCGAGTGACGGGACCTTATTCTACAGTGACCGCCAACTGGTGAGTCTGAGTCTGGAGAAGTCTGTCTTACAGGCTCCGGGAGTCTTTCCTAAAGCCCTGGATGTCCTGAATCACTTATCTGGAAGGCTGTGGTATTGGGGGCACACACAATTTATGGTATATGGAGGTACTGGAGCGGCTACTATCACTTGCAAGTCTGTAAGAGGGCCACTCATCATGTGGTGGTAATCCAGAGGCCGACGTTTTCATCTGGAAGGCTGGGGTATTGGGGGCACTCCATGCACCATGGCCCAATCAGAAGGATAACTAAAGCCCGTTCTGTGAGCACGTAGAATTTTGTCCAATGATCCCAATCTACCCATCCTTATCGCTCGCGCGTAATTATATTGCCGTCGCGACTGTGCGACGGGCGCCCGCAGTGAGTGTGCGAGCAGTGAGGTAGCTTGGGGTCATTGGACAAAATTGTACGTGCTCGGCGACCAGACTACAGGTCCGTCTTGCTATGGGGACTCACCATGTGCTGGTACTGCAGCGGCTGCGGGTGCGAGGATGGGTAGCTTGGGGTCATTGAACGAAATTCTATCTGCTCGGCGACTGGACTTTAGCAGGAAGGCGCTGGACGCAGGCCGCTACCAACGGGGCAACATTGAACATTGGGCAGCAGTGGACGTCCTACGGCTGAGATGATGATGATGATGATGATGATGATGATGATGATGACTCACCATGTGCTGGTACTGCAGCGGCTGCGGGTGCGGGGCGAAGTGCGGGTGCGAGCGCGACAGCAACATAATTACGCGCGAGCGCTAAGGATGGGTAGCTTGGGGTCATTGGACAAGATTCTACGTGCTCGGCGACCAGACTACAGGTCCGTCTTGCTATGGGGACTCACCATGTGCTGGTACTGCAGCGGCTGCGGGTGCGAGGATGGGTAGCTTGGGGTCATTGAACGAAATTCTATCTGCTCGGCGACTGGACTTCAGCAGGAAGGCGCTGGACGCAGGCCGCTACCAACGGGGCAACATTGAACATTGGGCAGCAGTGGACGTCCTACGGCTGAGATGATGATGACTCACCATGTGCTGGTACTGCAGCGGCTGCGGGTGCGGCGCGGAGTGCGGGTGCGAGGATGGGTAGCTTGGGGTCATTGAACGAAATTCTATCTGCTCAGCGACTGGACTTTAGCAGGAAGGCGCTGGACGCAAGCCGCTAAAGCCTGGTCTGTGAGCACGTAGAATTTTGTCCAATGACCCCAAGCTACCCATCCTTATTGCTCGCGCGTAATTATGTTGCTATTGCGCTCGCACACTCACTGCTGGTGCCAGTTGCACAGTCGCGACAGCAATATAATTACGCGCGAGCGATAAGGATGGGTAGTTAGGGGTCATTGGACAAAATTCTACGTGCTCACGGACCAAGCTTTACCAACGGGGCAACATTGAACATTGGGCAGCAGTGGACGTCCTACGGCTGAGATGATGATGATGATGATGATGATGATGACTCACCATGTGCTGGTACTGCAGCGGCTGCGGGTGCGGCGCCGAGTGCGGGTGCGAGTACGGCATGAAGGGCTGCATGGGCGCCGGCGCCAGCAGCGGCTGCCCCGTCGCCGCCGCCACCTGCACGCCTGATCCCACGCCCACTGGTGGGGTAGAAGACACAAACATTAAGACGTTTAGTGGGTGTTTGACAACATTTACCAATAATAAACATCATCACGTCATATAGTCCCCACTTCTACAGAACCTCTAATTTTGCATGGGTAGTGAGGGATTTCCCTCTCTAACCAAACGGGTTGAGAAAATTATCAAAATATCAATGCTCAACTTCCCTAAGCTAAGGGCTGATTTTTTTTATCGTCAGATAACTTTTAACTGAAGAATAAGTTTGGCACATTGATAGTTTCAGTATGGGAAATATGTCAAAATGACAAGTTTATTCTGACGATTGAAAAATCAGCCCTTACTCATCAATATTTATTTTAAAAACTCAGATTTTAATCACGTTTTGATTCTAAAAAGTAAGTAAAAAGAACTAGCAAACATTTTTTGATTTATCGCGAAAAAAGTGGCGTATCCTCACTACATCATCCCATGGTGTATCCTTGGTTACCTGTTATTTTAGTTTTGCTAATAAACATTTTTTAACTACACTCAACATCAAATAAACCGCACCTTCCGCGACGCGAACTTTAAAGATTTTCTTCTGACACAATCATGGTACCCCAACAATATTGGTGTTATTTGAAAGCCCAATAAATATCCTCAAAGAAAAATACATTTCATTTCTAAATAAATGATTAACATATACCATAAATGTGACTTGAAAATAGACTTCACTTTGGGCTCACCTCTGGGATCAATTAGACCAATTTTTATGGTTATAAAACCAAATAAAGATCTCACGTGTCTTCTTTAACAGATGGATAGCGATTAATCCCAACTTAACAGTTTTAAAGTCATAAAAAATGGCTATAGCGTAACTACCTATTTTTTGAAGAAGTGACTCTGGATCCTTGTAGTGACACATTTTTGGGGTAAAAACCTTTCCTTTAATGAAATGAAGTTTAGAACTAGGCTTTCAAATGGTACCAATGTTGGTAGGAAGTGGGGATGCATACGTTTGATAAGTGCTTGTCGCGGGAGGTGCGATTTATTTGATGCCGAGTGTATGTATTTTCTTTGGAACATAAACAAAATAAATCAATAGCTCACCTTTCCTGAAGTTCCTCTGCGGCTGTGTGGGGATGGGGGCGTGTTGCCCCGCGCCCCCCGCCACCCCGGCTACGCCTGCGCCGCCGCCCATCGCGGCTCCATACAACTGTTGGGCCAAACCGAACCAAATTACAACAATGTTATTATGGCAGGGATATACAGGGTGGAAACGTTAAGTGATCTCACTCGATTATTTCTAAACTATACAAGATATCGAAAAACTGATTACTGATTCTGAAAGTGCTTTACAAGCTCTTTCAAACGATATCAGTAATAGGTTACAGAATAAACTGGATCTATCCGAAAATTCAATGTTTTCAGTCTCCATACTAAATGTATGCCACTATGCCAGCCACACAATATTAGAAATGTTAATTTTTTTTATTTTAAATAATAAACACTTAAAATTTATTCGTGAATTGCATTCTTATTTAAAATTATTCACGGAAAACATTGGTTTTAGGCTTTACTTGCTATAATATTATCAAGACGAGAGAGAAGAAGAGTGCTATGATTGTGGCAGTATTAAATGTATGGAAGCTGAAAACATTGAATTTTCGAATGGATCCAGTTTATTTTATAACTTATGATTGGTACCATTGGATAGAGCTCGTGAAGCACTTTCAGGATCAGTTACCAGTTTTTGGATATCTTGTATAGTTTTTAATATTATGAGGTTTTACTAAATGTATGGAGGCTGGAAACATTGAATTTTCAGATAGATCCAATTTATTATGTAACCTATTATTGGTACCTTTGGATAGAGCTCATGAAGCACTTTTAGGATCAGTAAGCAGTTTTTCGATATCTTGTATAGTTTAGAAATAACCGAGTGAGATCACTTATCGTTTCCACCCTGTATAAACTCCTCCTTTTGGCAAGTCTGTTTAATACGGCAGATATCACATCAAACGGAAGAAAACATTGCTTTGTTATGGTGCGTCCACACTGCGCGAGCCCGTTCGCCCAGACTGGACGCACCATTATACGAATGGGGAGAAATTAAGTGGTAAACGGTGTGTAATTTGATGCAGATAAATAACACCATGTCTGTTTAAAATGTAACGAATTAATGACAATAAAATGTGTGGGTAAGCGCATAACTCAACAACGCCTGGACCAATTAACCAATTCTTTTTTTAAATTGTTCGTTGAAGTCCAAGGATGGTTTTTACGGCGAGATAAATTCGAATAATTTCCGGGAAAACCCTAAATCAGAACTTTTTTCACGCAGGCGAAGCCGCGGCCTTAAAGCTACTAGTTTAGAGTAAATCTAGAATCGTCGTCGTAAAAGTATGGAGCTTAATTTCATTTGTTAAAATACTGGAACTAGAAAACTCAGGTTTGCTTTTGTTTTTGTGCAGGTCGTTGAAATTCTCTCGCATATTTTCATCATCCAATGGTTTTGTCGGCTTCTATTGTATGAGGAATCGGCCGATACCAGCTACCTACCTGATGTCACCTGGTGGGGGAACTGTTGGTGAGAGCTGAGTTTTTGGTTCTTGTAGACAGCGTCAAATAGTTCGTAACAGATAAAATCGTTTCAGCTCGGAATGACAACTTCTCAAATGTCTATTTCTCACAATGACAATTCGCATTTGCTCCGGCGTGGGCGACGGCGACGGCGCCGGGGGCGGGGCGTAGCCCACGCCGGCCACGCCCACTTCGCCGCCGCCCACGCCGACGCCGCCGCCGTGGTACATCCGCACCTGGTGGGGGAACTGTTGGTGAGAGCTGAGTTTTTGGTTCTTGTTCGTTCGTTCGTTCGTTCGTTTCAGCCGAAAGACGTCCACTGCTGGACAAAGGCCTCCCCCAGGCAGTGATGGTGTATGGCTCTGAGACGTGGTCGCTTACTATGGGCCTCATAAGAAGGCTCAAGGTCACCCAAAGAGCGATGGAGCGTTGGTTCTTGTAGTCAGCGTCAAATAGTTCGTAACAGATAAAATCGTTTCAGCTCGGAATGATAACTTCTCAAATGTCTATTTCTCACAATGACAAATTCGCATTTGCTCCGGCGTGGGCGACGGCGAAGGCGCCGGGGGCGGGGCGTAGCCCACGCCTACTTCGCCGCCGCCCACGCCGGAACCGCCCACGCCTACGCCGCCGCCGTGGTACATCCGCACCTGGTGGGGGAACTGTTGGTGAGAGCTGAGTTTTTGGTTCTTGTAGTCAGCGTCAAATAGTTCGTAACAGATAAAATCGTTTCAGCTCGGAATGACAACTTCTCAAATGTCTATTTCTCACAATGACAAATTCGCATTTGCTCCGGCATGGGCGACGGCGACGGCGGCGGGGCGTAGCCCACGCCGGCCACGCCCACTTCGCCGCCGCCCACGCCGACGCCGCCGCCGTGGTACATCCGCACCTGGTGGGGGAACTGTTGGTGAGCGCTGAGTCTTTGGTTCTTGTGATTTGAGCATTGGATAGATAGGTTTTAAGACCTTATTTTTCTAAGAACGTCATATACATAGTTCACGAGAGAAATAATATGTTAAATTATTTAGATTAACATTTTGGCGCAGCACAGCAATGATGAAGATAATGAAGCCAATACGATAGCTCATTGTCATCTTATAACTTTTCTCCTTTTGTACTCTGCATAAAAGGCATATTCATCAAATCAAATCATTTATTTGTAAAACATAGGTAAATGTGGAATTCAGGTGGTACATACATATAATGGGTAGAACTCATCATGTGCTGGTTACGTAGCAGCCGATGGTTTTATCTAGGAACCGGTGATTTTAACATAATTATGACGTGACAGATCACAGAGCATACAAATCTGAAGTATCACTGCCATTTGACGTAACAAAAAAAAACCCTCACGTGCTTCTCCCATACCTCAGGCTACAGCTATAGCTTCGTTAATCTATGGGGGATACTTACCATGTACCCACAAGGTGGACCAACAACATCGTAAAGGTAATGTCCGGTCGCCCAGCCAATAGAATGTCGTCCAATGACCCCAAGCTACCGATCCTTATCGCTCGCGTGTAATTATATTCCTGTCGCGAATATGCGACGGGCAGCCGCACTGAGTGTGCGATAAGGATGGGTAGCTTGGGGTCATTGAACAAAATTCTATCTGCTCGGCGACTGGACTTTAGCAGGAAGGCGCTGGACGCAGGCCGCTAAAGCCTGTTCTGTGAGCACGTAGAATTTTGTCCAATGACCCCAAGCTACCCATCCTTATTGCTCGCGCGTAATTATGTTGCTATTGCGCTCGCACACTCACTGCTGGTGCCGGTTGCACAGTCGCGACAGCAATATAATTACGCGCGAGCGATAAGGATGGGTAACTTGGGGTCATTGGACAAAATTCTACGTGCTCACGGACCAAGCTTTACCAACGGGGCAACATTGAACATTGGGCAGCAGTGGACGTCCTACGGCTGAGATGATGATGATGATGACTCACCATGTGCTGGTACTGTAGCGGCTGCGGGTGCGGCGCGAAGTGCGGGTGCGAGCGCAACAGCAACATAATTACGCGCGAGCGCTAAGGATGGGTAGCTTGGGGTCATTGGACAAGATTCTACGTGCTCGGCGACCAGACTACAGGTCCGTCTTGCTATGGGGACTCACCATGTGCTAGTACTGCAGCGGCTGTGGGTGCGGCGCGGAGTGCAGGTGCGAGGATGGGTAGCTTGGGGTCATTGAACGAAATTCTATCTGCTCCGCGACTGGACTTTAACAGGAAGGCGCTGGACGCAGGCCGCTACCAACGGGGCAACAATGAACATTGGGCAGCAGTGGACGTCCTACGGCTGAGATGATGATGATGATGATGATGACTCACCATGTGCTGGTACTGCAGCGGCTGCGGGTGCGGCGCGAAGTGCGGGTGCGAGCGCGACAGCAACATAATTACGCGCGAGCGCTAAGGATGGGTAGCTTGGGGTCATCGGACAAGATTCTACGTGCTCGGCGACCAGACTACAGGTCCGTCTTGCTATGGGGACTCACCATGTGCTGGTACTGCAGCGGCTGCGGGTGCGGCGCCGAGTGCGGGTGCGAGTACGGCATGAAGGGCTGCATGGGCGCCGGCGCCAGCAGCGGCTGCCCCGTCGCCGCCGCCACCTGCACGCCTGATCCCACGCCCACTGGTGGGGTGGAGATACACAGGTTAGAGACTGAGTGGGTATTTAACAACATTTACGAAGCACAACTTTTCTAAACACATTATTATTATGATCTACACCAGGGGTGGCCAAACTTTTGACCTGTGAGGTCTACATATGCTCGAAAATATTTCTTGCGGTCGACTGCAAGGTAGAGTTTAGAAGAGTGAAATTGAACATTTTAGCAGCAACAATACTACCATGTTACGACCGACCTGAAGCGTGTGAGTACCTATAATTATAGGTAGATAGATAGTCAGTGTTCTTGGCGCGAATAGTTAGTACATTTTAAAATAAGTTCAGTTTATTTAACTCTCGCGGGCTACCAAAATCGCGGTCGACCTCTTGGCCATCAATTTGATTTTTAATTGCTTTGAAATGAACGAAAAAGTAAGTCAATTGATATGGAAAAATAGTGATGTCATCGGCTTTTGTCTCAGTTTTGGTTAGGCATTGACTGCCGAGCAACTAGACACATTAAGTTTGTATAAAGTTTTGGTCTGACTAATAAAAAGTCGCAATGTGTTTCTTAAAAAAAGTATAAACATTANTTTCCGTCGGGCTTTCCTGGAGATAGAATTAGGCCGTGACTGGATCGTCGTGTGTTGCTATTGTTACATTGTCGTCAGCAAAGGTTCCTGTGAATGTATTTGCAGTTGTTGGCAGGTCTGCGGTAAACAATAGGTATAACACGGGCCCCAAGACACTACCCTGGGATATACCGGACGTTATGTTGCATAGGGCAGAACAAGAGTCTCCAGATCTGACTTCAAAGCATCTGTCTTTCAAATACGACTTAAGTATTTCGTAGAACGGGCATGGGAGGTTCTGTTTCAGTTTGTACAAGAGCCCTTTATGCCAGACATTGTCGAAGGCTTGACTTATGTCCAAGAACGCAGCTGAGCAGTATCGTTTCTTTTCTAGTACTTCTGAGATGATGTTTGTGGTTCTGTAGACCTGTTCAGTTGTGGAGTGTCTTTCCCGGAAACCAAATTGGTGTTCAGGTATCAGATCACCGATCTGGGGATTCATTCGTTTGAACAGTATTTTTTCAAATACCTTCGATAGCAGCGTTTTTTTTTTCAAGTAACTAGTTATTGAAGTTAATTGATCCTTATTAAAATGATTATAGACAAAAAAGTGTTTCCTTTAATTTACATTATTTTGAAAATAGTAGTATTCGAAAAAATCGTTTTATCCGAAGTATTCGAATACCATAAATTTTAGTATTCGAAATATTCGAATACCAATATCGAACGAATAATGCATGCCCTAGATAGAATTTAACTCCTGTTTCTGAGAAGTTACCCGCTAAAATACCGGTGGTGACAAAAGTTCCCAGAAATTTTTGGTAGTAGATGACCCATGGGGAGTTTTGTCACCAAGATTTTTTGTCTGTGTTTCTTTGTCAATTTGGGCGTGTTCCTTTACATGTATGGAGATTTGCTATTTTTGACATCAACGTTGATAAATTTAGCGATATCTGTGATATTTCTTTAATCTGTAAGCGTTTTGTGAGCGATGTGAAAAAATGTTGAAATGGAACACTCTCAGTTTGACATGAGCCGTCACACGTCCGATTTTTGAAGTGTTTATTTTTTATAGAAGAAACATTCTATTCTACAAGTTATTCAATTTCAAATTGCATTATTAATACTACGGTTGTATCTTTTCAAAGAAAATTGTATTTTAAAGTCATAATACGTGGATTAGTCCGCACTCCGCACTAGTCGCGTCAAGTATGGTAAATTACTACGTACTAAGTGGAACAGGTATTTGGATCACGTATTAATAAATACTTGGAATAGGTGCACCTAGTATCAAATTTACCTAGTATAACCCATCTCTACCATTTTTGGGGTAAAAACCTTTCCTTTAATGAAATGAAGTTTAGAACTAGGCTTTCAAATGGTACCAATGTTGGTAGGAAGTGGGGATGCATACGTTTGATAAGTGCTTGTCGCGGGAGGTGCGATTTATTTGATGCCGAGTGTATGTATTTTCTTTGGAACATAAACAAAATAAATCAATAGCTCACCTTTCCTGAAGTTCCTCTGCGGCTGTGTGGGGATGGGGGCGTGTTGCCCCGCGCCCCCCGCCACCCCGGCTACGCCTGCGCCGCCGCCCATCGCGGCTCCATACAACTGTTGGGCCAAACCGAACCAAATTACAACAATGTTATTATGGCAGGGATATACAGGGTGGAAACGTTAAGTGATCTCACTCGATTATTTCTAAACTATACAAGATATCGAAAAACTGATTACTGATTCTGAAAGTGCTTTACAAGCTCTTTCAAACGATATCAGTAATAGGTTACAGAATAAACTGGATCTATCCGAAAATTCAATGTTTTCAGTCTCCATACTAAATGTATGCCACTATGCCAGCCACACAATATTAGAAATGTTAATTTTTTTTATTTTAAATAATAAACACTTAAAATTTATTCGTGAATTGCATTCTTATTTAAAATTATTCACGGAAAACATTGGTTTTAGGCTTTACTTGCTATAATATTATCAAGACGAGAGAGAAGAAGAGTGCTATGATTGTGGCAGTATTAAATGTATGGAAGCTGAAAACATTGAATTTTCGAATGGATCCAGTTTATTTTATAACTTATGATTGGTACCATTGGATAGAGCTCGTGAAGCACTTTCAGGATCAGTTACCAGTTTTTGGATATCTTGTATAGTTTTTAATATTATGAGGTTTTACTAAATGTATGGAGGCTGGAAACATTGAATTTTCAGATAGATCCAATTTATTATGTAACCTATTATTGGTACCTTTGGATAGAGCTCATGAAGCACTTTTAGGATCAGTAAGCAGTTTTTCGATATCTTGTATAGTTTAGAAATAACCGAGTGAGATCACTTATCGTTTCCACCCTGTATAAACTCCTCCTTTTGGCAAGTCTGTTTAATACGGCAGATATCACATCAAACGGAAGAAAACATTGCTTTGTTATGGTGCGTCCACACTGCGCGAGCCCGTTCGCCCAGACTGGACGCACCATTATACGAATGGGGAGAAATTAAGTGGTAAACGGTGTGTAATTTGATGCAGATAAATAACACCATGTCTGTTTAAAATGTAACGAATTAATGACAATAAAATGTGTGGGTAAGCGCATAACTCAACAACGCCTGGACCAATTAACCAATTCTTTTTTTAAATTGTTCGTTGAAGTCCAAGGATGGTTTTTACGGCGAGATAAATTCGAATAATTTCCGGGAAAACCCTAAATCAGAACTTTTTTCACGCAGGCGAAGCCGCGGCCTTAAAGCTACTAGTTTAGAGTAAATCTAGAATCGTCGTCGTAAAAGTATGGAGCTTAATTTCATTTGTTAAAATACTGGAACTAGAAAACTCAGGTTTGCTTTTGTTTTTGTGCAGGTCGTTGAAATTCTCTCGCATATTTTCATCATCCAATGGTTTTGTCGGCTTCTATTGTATGAGGAATCGGCCGATACCAGCTACCTACCTGATGTACTCATATTTGTTCATACTGTTTATCAACCCGGTTAAACTATCGGCCGACGAAAACTACAGACTTTTCGCAGATTTATTCTTATTTAATAGACGAAAATAAACAAATAATTCGATTACGCGCATTTTTATCATTTCAATGGTATGTAATTGATAACATTATTTAGGTAAATGTTTTTTGCGGCATTGACGAACGCTATATCAAATTATGTAATCGTTTTAGAGATACTAGTGTCCATCCCGGAATTTTATAGTACCAATGAGATTTACGCAGTATTTTAGCCAATAGACAATTTGACACCATTCCCCAATAATTCGAAATCACAACTTCTCTAAAAAGACACTTCATTCTGGTCTTAAAAACTTAATTAATTTTAAATTACCTGTAAATTACGATTTTTAGTCGCATTGTAATTTTAAAAAGTAGTTTATTTGAGCTGACAAAATAGTGACGTCACTTGCTTGTAGTGTCATACAAAATCATTGGGAGGGTTTCGTTTTGACAGTTTTAAAAAGTACGTCAATTGATTGGTGGTGTCAACACTTCTATTACGAACCTCATGAAGTACATACTTGGCTAAAATAATTACAAGTAACAAAGTATCAATTTACAAGTAGGTACAGATTCAAATAAACACAGGAAAATTTTTAATTCTTCTTAATAAGATCTTACAAAGTACTCCAGTAATCTTTGTAGACAGGTCTTTAGGTCGGTCGCACACCTGCCACAATCTGCCTGGGCCAGTAGTTAATGTGTCACTGCTGTTACAATCAAGAAGTTAAGTGTCTGACCCGGTGTTATCACTGCTGATATGAGAATTAATTACAAAAATGTCCTATTGTTCTTTAAATTCTGCTACAACAACGCAAAAACTATTTCTTATACAATTTTGCAAGTTATTATTTTTGATTAAGCTGGAATAGTAGGTGTTTTTGAGATTTATTTATCATTTGAAAAACAAAGTACCTACATGATATTATATCGATATCCTTTAAAAACCACTAGGGATTTTAGGTGTTTTTACAGACTGACTAGGATAGGTATGTTACAAATGTTTTTGATTGATTAGATTAGAATAAAAATACAGCTCTTAGTAACAAAAAAGTTATAGAAACGAAACAGCCATGAGCATGACTCTTTCTCAGTTTAAAACAATAATTTTAACTGAACTAACACAGTTTGTTGTTAAAATTATCTTTGGAATTAATTTATCTAGTTCTACAGTCCAATATTAAATAATTGTTTCAATGAACATATTTTATCACTTGATGCAAGATTAGGGCATCATTACACGCGGATCTAGGATTATTAAATTAAGTTATAATCGGTCACCAACTGCCGCTCGTTGATTACGAACGAGCTATCTATCGCCAGTTGTGTATTAACTTAGCTACGTTTTAGACGTGGTTACATAATTCGCTGATTCTTATTCCGAGACAACATGTGGCTGTTCTGGGTTTTGGTGACTTTAGTGTTGATAAAGTTTCTGAATAAATTATCTAATGGCAAATGTTATGCTGATACTGTTATGACGGGGAAAGTAGTTATAGTGACTGGTGCGAATAGTGGCATAGGATATGCCACGGCTTTGGAGCTGGCCAGGCGAGGAGCTGAGGTGATTCTGGGGTGCCGAGACGATAAGAAAGGTCAAGAAGCTGTTGATTCTATCATAAAAGCGACTAAGAACAAAAAAGTGAAGTACATCTATTTGGATTTGAGCTCTTTTAAATCTATTAGAAATTTCGTGGAAGAGTTTAAAAGAATGGAAGCGAAATTGGACGTTTTGATAAACAACGCTGGCGCCAGCGGTATGGGGTTGAAGAAGACTGAGGATGGTATTATCCGGGATATGCAAGTCAACCATTTTGGGCCTTTTCTACTGACTGTGCTTCTCACTCCGATTCTGGTGAAATCCGCACCGAGTCGAGTGATAATTGTGTCGTCCATGCTTCACAAGTTTGGCACTATCCAGGACATGAATGAGGAGGGTCGCCACGGATGGTTCCAGAATTACTGCAACAGCAAACTGTGCAATGTGTTGTTCAGTAACGAGTTGGCGAAGCGTCTGGAAGGTACCGGGGTGGTCGTGAACAGTGTGCATCCAGGGCAGGTGAACACAAGTCTTTATAGGTCGACCTTGTTGGACAAAATACGGAGTTTGGTGCTGTATACGTTCTTTAAAAGCCCTGAGGAAGGTGCACAGACGTCGCTATACCTAGCAGTGTCGGATGACTGCGATCAGGTGACGGGGAGGTACTTTGCTGATTGCTCAGAGAGTTCTATGTCTTGGAAGGCAGAAGACAGAGGGTTGGCTTCGGAGCTTTGGTACATGTCAGAGATATTTGTGAAGTTAAGGCCTGAAGAGAAGATCTGAGATACGAAGAAACTGTTGTTGTTATATTATTTGTAAATTATTGTTGTTGCATTTCAACTTGCTTAATAACTTCCTATGTTAATTTATATTTGTGATACCGCAAGAATATCCGACTTATCAAAACTGTTTACTAGTTTTTTTATAGCAATTTAAGTATACATTCCAGTACATTAGGTATAAAACCAGAACTGTGAGGAAACTTATCAGAAAATGTTTATGATTTCGATACGTAAGGTCATCTATCATGTTCCTAACATGACTAATTAACGCACTTTAGTTGTTTCACTTGAAAGTCAGCCGGGATCTTACTTGTTTATATAATATACTTTTTTGTATTTGTTCACTAAACCAAGTCAATGTATTTAAGCTCCATACATTCCAATGAAGAAACACCTGTTCTCTGTAATAAAAGAATATTCAGTTAACTCACGCGAAGATGTCCAAGCCAGTCTATATTCTATTCAAGATAATAAAATGATTGATTAAATATTCCATTTTAAAACAGACATGGTGTTCCCTAAAGGTCTTTATTTGTTCGTCTGTACCCTTAATAATAATTAGATTTATTTATAATAAGCGCTGCAAAACAACAAATTATTAGCATCAAAAGAAAAAACACTGCAAACAACACATCATTAGTAAAAACATATTTTCATTATGCTGGTTACTTAAACCGTTTGTAGGAATAAAAATAATTATTACAGATATATTTTAGATACCACCTTCGCATTCATAAAAATATAACGTCGTAGTAGGTAAATAAGTGTTTTATTTCATGTAATTTTCTTAGTGAAAGTTATTACGAGTATTTAAAAATTAGGTTTGAAATGTAAAACGATACCAAATATACAATGGAAGACCGTGTGTCTTTGAGTTTCAATATTATATCTAGCTTGAATTTACTTTTTAAACTCATGCTAGTTTTATAAACGTTTTTTATGAGAAGATGGATTTGAACCTAACAAGATACAAAACATTGATTTTTAAATAAGTACGACATAATAGACTTATTTTACATATCATCCACTGTATCGGTCTATTGTATTCGATCCATACAGTAATCTATAAGACTGCATTCACACTGATAGAAAATAAATAAGAAGCTTAAGTGGTATTCGCTGCCGCTGTGGGTAGCGATAAATATCGCGTTTTAGCGATTATGTGCTAACTTTTGATACCATGTGCAATATCTAGAATTTTATAGCGACAGCGAATATCGTAGTAAATTTTTTATAACATTGATACAACAAATCTGTGCTAGCTAGACAGTCATCTATGGAGTGTAAAGGTATGTCCACACTGCTTGGTATTGTCGCACTCCCAGTAGATGTGAATAAACCCTTACACATCACATTCAGGAAGAGGTGTAGTAAGTAGCAATGGACTTGTAAATACAGCCTTTTACAATAATCAAAATAATATAAATAAACACATCGCTTCGGGAAGTTAATGTAGACAAATTATAAAATGGTACTAGATATTGCAAGTTTGTGTAAATATTTGCAATTATAATTAATAAAAAAATAGTACATTTACCTACTTTTGATAGCCATTGAAACTTACAATGATCCTAAATATTTTTGGTACAATTTTCGAAGTGTGATTCTGGACAACGACAAGAAAAATAGCGGTGGTTGGGATTGGGAACAATGGAATTCAGAAATGTAGTCCACCAAACAAATGTCTGTGTGTATTTATGGACTCCTTGAGAGGATTTTTGAAACATTTTTGGATTGGAAAATTAATAGTCCATTAATCTGAGTAGGTATATTGCAAATATTTATACAAACATACTACATAATAATATGTATATTAGCACCATTACAGGAAATTGTATAGGTTCTGGCCACGATCATGTGGCGCATGGGGCCAGGCAAATCTATACTTATAATAAATCTGTAGAGAGGTCAATTCTGTACATGAAATATATTTTCAAAATAACTATCAGGGGGTGATTAGTGATCGATATTGATGCCAAAAATGCAATCAGTAAAATTTTTGTCTGTCTGTCTGTCTGTCTGTCTGTCTGTATGTTCCTTATAGAAACAAAANGCCAGGAACCCAGTAATGATATTTAAAGAGAGCCCGAAATGCATTTTTATGTCAATCGTCTATGTATACAATGTCGCTTCTGTAAAATTGATAAAAATCAGTTACGTCTCTTCGTGATTCGACCCACGATATCATCATTGATAAACTTTTCTGTACACAGAAGTGACATTGCGTTAAAGGTTTACGATTTACGCCAAATAAATTACAAATAGTTACCGTTATACATGAATATTTATGATCCTCTTTGGATGTAACGCGAAAAAATCACATTTCACTATGTATCAGCAAGTGCTCACCTTTCCTGAAGTTCCTCTGCGGCTGTGTGGGGATGGGGGCGTGTTGCCCCGCGCCCCCCGCCACCCCGGCTACGCCTGCGCCGCCGCCCATCGCGGCTCCATACAACTGTTGGGCCAAACCGAACCAAATTAGAACGTTTACTATTTTGTTACGTATTCGGATAGGGAAAGGAAGATTGTCGGATAAAATCGAAGGGATATGACATTGCTTTGTTATGCGGATAGGGAAGAACAACGCTTTTGAGTAATTTAATGCGGCTCCATACAACTGTTGGATCAAACCGAACCAAATTAGACTATTTACTATTTTGTTACGTATTCGGATAGGGAAAGGAAGATTGTCGGATAAAATCTAAGGGAAAAGAGCATTGCTTTGTTATACGGATAGGGAAAAACAACGCTTTTGAGTAATTTAATGCGGCTCCATACAACTGTTGGATCAAACCGAACCAAATTAGACTATTTACTATTTTGTTACGTATTCGGATAGGGAAAGGAAGATTGTCGGATAAAATCTAAGGGAAAAGAACACTGCTTTGTTATACGGATATGGAAAAATACCGATTTTGGGTAATTTGATAAAAATGACAGGAACAAACTTGACCTTCACTGGTTGGGTTTTTATTGGCGGTCAAGCTGTAGATCCTGGCTACACAGGAGTTGCAGTGGTGGGAAAGAGAGGTGGGAATAGTCCCGTTTTTATTGGGACAGGGAAAGGAAGTTAGGCGTTTTAAATCTAAGGGAAAAGTACATTGCGCTGTTATGGTGATAGGGAAAAATACCGATTTTGAGTAATTTAACGCAAAAAAGTAACACCATGTCTGTTTACATAGATAAAAATGATTTGGTTGATTTCTAGAGACCGTCGTCGTAAAAGTATGGAGCTTAATTTCATTAAAAATATTTAGGACCTAGACAATATGGCTTTGCTTTTGTGTGTCGTTTAAATACTCTCGCATATTTTTATCATTCGATAGGCTTATTTGTATGAGGAATCGGCCGATACCAGCTACCTACCTGATGTACTCATATTTGTTCATACTGTTTATCAACCCGGTTAAACTATCGGCCGACGAATACTACAGAATTTTCGGAGATTTATTCTTATTTAATAGACGAAAACAAATAAATAATTCGATTACGCGCATTATAATCATTTCAATGGTATGTTATTGATAACATTATTTAGGTAAATGTTTTTTTCTGTATTAACGAACGGTATATCAAATTATGTAATCGTTTTAGAGATATTAGTGTCCATCCCGGAATTGTATAGAACCAATGAGATTTACGCAGTATTTTAGCCAGTTACGAACCTCATGAAGTACATACTTGGCTAAAATAATTACATGTAAGAAAGTATGAATCTACAAGTACAGATTCAAGTAAACACAGGAAAATTTTTAATTCTTCTTAATAAGATCTTACAAAGTATTTCAGTAATCTTTGTAGACAGGTCTTTAGGTCGGTCGCACACCTGCCACAATCTGCCTGGGCCAGTAGTTAATGTGTCGCTGCTGTACAATCAAGAAGTTAAGTGTCTGACCCGGTGTTATCACTGCTGATATGAGAATTAATTACAAAAATGTCCTATTGTTCTTTAAATTCTGCTACAACAACGCAAAAACCTTTTTTTATACTATTTTGCAAGTTATTATTTTTGATTAAGCTGGAATAGTAGGTTTTTTTGAGATTTATTTATCATTTGAAAAACAAAGTACCTACATGATAATTATTATATCGATAACCTTTAAAAACCACTAGGGTTTTTAGGTGTTTTTACAGACTGACTAGGATAGGTATGTTACAAATGTTTTTGATTGATTAGATTAGAATAAAAATACAGCTCTTAGTAACAAAAAAGTTATAGAAACGAAATAGCCATGAGCATGACTCTTTCTCAGTTTAAAACAATAATTTTAACTGAACTTCTACACAGTTTGTTGTTTAAATTATCTTTGGAATTATTTTATCTAGTTCTACATTCGAATACATTAAAATAATTGTTTCAATGAAAATATTTTATCACTTGATGCAAGATTAGGGCATTATTACACGCGGATCTAGGATTATTAAATTAAGTTATAATCGGTCACCAACTGCCGCTCGTTGATTACGAACGAGCTATCTATCGCCAGTTGTGTATTAACTTAGCTACGTTTTAGACGTGGTTACATAATTCGCTGATTCTTATTCCGAGACAACATGTGGCTGTTCTGGGTTTTGGTGACTTTAGTGTTGATAAAGTTTCTGAATAAATTATCTAATGGCAAATGTTATGCTGATACTGTTATGACGGGAAAAGTGGTTATAGTGACTGGTGCGAACAGTGGCATAGGATATGCCACTGCTTTGGAGCTGGCCAGGCGAGGTGCTGAGGTGATTCTAGGATGCCGAGACGATAAGAAAGGTCAAGAAGCTGTGGAATCTATCATAAAAGCGACTAAGAACAAAAAAGTGAAGTACATCTATTTGGATTTGAGCTCTTTTAAATCTATTAGGAGTTTCGTGGAGGAGTTTAAAAGAATGGAAGCGAAACTGGACGTTTTGATAAACAATGCTGGCGCCAGCGGTATGGGTTTGAAGAAGACTGAGGATGGTATTATCCGGGACATGCAAGTCAACCATTTTGGACCTTTTCTACTGACAGTGCTTCTCACTCCGTTGCTGGTGAAATCCGCGCCGAGTCGTGTGATAATTGTGTCGTCCATGCTCCATAAGTTTGGCACTATCCAGGACATAAATGAGGAGGGTCGCCACGGATGGTTCCAGAATTACTGCAACAGCAAACTGTGCAATGTTTTGTTCAGTAACGAGTTGGCGAAGCGTTTGGAAGGTACCGGGGTGGTCGTGAACAGTGTCCATCCAGGGCAAGTGAACACGAGCCTTTATAGGTCGACCTTGTTGGACAAAATACGAAGTTTGGTCCTGTATACGTTTTTTAAAAGCCCTGAGGAAGGTGCACAGACGTCGTTATACCTAGCAGTGTCGGATGACTGCGATCAGGTGACAGGGAGGTACTTTGCTGATTGCTCAGAGAGTTCTATGTCTTGGAAGGCAGAAGACAGAGGGTTGGCTTCGGAGCTTTGGTACATGTCAGAGATATTTGTTAAGTTAAGGCCTGAAGAGAAGATCTGAGATACGAAGAAACTGTTGTTGTTATATTATTTGTAAATTATTGTTTTTGCATTTCAACTTGCTTAATAACTTCCTATGTTAATTTATATTAGCGCAAGAATATCAGACTTATCAAAACTGTTTACTAGTTTTTTTTTGCAATCAAAACTCACATTCCAGTACATTAGGTATAAAACCAGAACTGTGAGGAGACTTATCAGGGAATGTTTATGATTTCAATATGTAAGGTCATCTATCATGTTCCTAACATGACTAATTAACGCACTTTAGTTGTTTCACTTGAAGTCAGCCGGGATACCTATTTTCTTACTTGTTTATATAAAATACTTTTTTGTCGTTGTTCACTAAACCCAGACAACGTATTTAAGCTCCATACATTCCAATGAAGAAACACCTGTTCTCTGTAATAAAAGAATATTCAGTTAACTCACGCGAAGATGTCCAAGCCAGTCTCTATTCTATTCAAGATAATAAAATGATTGATTAAATATTCGATTTTTTAAACAGACATGGTGTTCCAATACTCAATACTCCCTAAAGGTTTTCATTTGTTCATAAATGTACCCTTAAGAATTAGATTTATAATAAGCACTGCAAAACAACAAATTATTAGCATGAAAAGAAAAACACTGCAAACAACACATCATTAGTAAAAACATATTTCATTATGCTGGTTACTTAAACCGTTTGTAGGAAGAAAACTATCCATTATAAATTAAAAAAAAAAATACAGATATTTTCGATACCACCTTCGCATTCATAAAAATATAACGTCTTAGTAAGTAAATAAGTAAGTTTTATTTCATGTAATTTTCTTAGTGAAAGTTATTATTTAAAAATTAGGTTTGAAATATAAAACGATACCAAATGTACAATGGAAGACCGTGTTTCCTTGAGTTTCAATATTATATTATCTAGCTTGAATTTACTTTTTAAACTCATGCTAGTTTTATAACCGTTTTTTATAAATGAGAAGATGGATTTGAACCTAACAAGATACAAAACATTGATTTTTAAATAAGTACGACATAATAGATTAATTTTACATAATATATCACCCACTGTATCATCTATTGTAATCGATCCATACAGTAATCTATAAGACTGCATTCACACTGATAGAAAATAAATAAGAAGCTTAAGTGGTATTCGCTGCCGCTGTGGGTAGCGAAAAATATCGCGTTTTTGCGATTATGTGCTAACTTTTGATACCATGTGCAATATCTAGAATTTTATAGCGACAGCGAATATCGTAGTTAATTTCTTATAACATTGATACAACAAATCTGTGCTAGCTAGACATTCATCTATGGAGTAAAGGTATGTCCACACTGCATGGTATTGTCGCACTCCCAGTAGATGTGAATAAACCCTTACAAATCACATTCAGGAAGGGGTGTAGTAAGTAGCAATAGACATGTAAATACAGCCTTTTACAATAATCAAAATAATATAAATAAACACATCGCTTCGGGAAGTTAATGTAGACAAATTATAAAATGGTACTAGACATAGCATGTTTGTGTAAATATTTGCTATTAAAATAAATCTAAAAATGTATTTCTACTTTTAATAGCCACTAAACTTTTAAAATGATCATTTATATTTTTGGTACAATTTTCGAAGTGTGATTCTGGACAACGACAAGAAAAATAGCGGTGGTTGGGATTGGGAACAATGGAATTCAGAAATGTAGTCCACCAAACAAATGTTTTCTATGTGTATGTGTATTTATGGACTCCTTGAGAGGATTTTTGAAACATTTTTGGATTGGAAAATTAATAGTCCATTAATCTGAGTAGGTATATTGCAAATATTTATACAAACATACTATGTATATTAGCACCATTACAGAAAATTGTATAGATTCTTGCCACGATCATGTGGCGCATGGGGCCAGGTAAATTAAGAATATTCTCATTTGTGACAAATTGAGTCATTTAACCAGAGCTTAACTTTCCAAGCTTCTTTAATGTGAATTTCATAAAAATTACTCATAAACTTTCATAAAGCCATCGAATTTCTGTTAGCCATTCTTGTAGCTTCACTTTTGCTTCCTAGCGCCACATGATCACTCTTACAAAACGCAAGAATAAATTACTTTTATTCGCGAATCAGAGGTTCTATAAAGGAACAGCTTACATTAAAATAAACCAGGGTTAAATAAAACCACACAAAAACCTTGGTGAGGTCACAGTAAGCCCCGCACTCGGTATGAAGCGCGTTATTCAGTAGAATAAAAGGACACGTATTCAACAGCTGATAATCGCATAGACAACAAATATTGTAGCACCACGATCTTATACACAACGGGTTTTAGGAAATAATAGCATAAATCGATTGCACTTTGATTAAAATTTTCGGAAAAATAAAAAATCGGAATCAGCGATCCGGTATTGACGGTGGCGCCATTCTCAATTTCACGGGTGGGACGGTTCAGTGTAGGACACCTGAAAAAAGTGTCATTTCTACGGAAAAAAATTTGACAGATCATTGGTGGGGGCCATCATGGCTCTTCCCATAGCCAAAGTCATAAGATCGTGGTAGCTATTACAGCTCTAAGCACGACTCGTAAACAAAATTTGATTTCACGTTTGTCATTATTCAGCAAACTTATTCAGTTAAATATTTTTAATGTATCTTTTTAGAAAACATGTTTGTTATCAGCTGTTGACAAGCCACACGCACACTGCGTTAGGTCAGACGCTTGGTACTTCCGAAGATTGAACGAGTCGTGCGAATCGTATCGACTAAACGATCAAAAAGGCATGGTTCACTATTAATTTTATCGGATCTACTTGAAAAAACTTTGATATATCGGCTTTGTCCATTATTTCTTTGTTTCTTTAATAATGAAATATCTTTTATCCTGATATTAAAGTACTTAATGTGTGATCAGAGGGCTGAGTGTCACTAGTGAGCGCGTAAAAAAAAGACATTCAATGTATGTACGGATTGTACTAGCGCCCCTAGCGGATTTCAAGAACTAAAATTTTCATATGTTTTACGCTGACTAGTGAGCGCGTTTAATGTAAACTCACACTAAGGCCCAGAACAGACGGTGAAACGCAACTGCAACTGCTAGTTACTTTTGAGTTGCATCTAAGTTTCTGCCATAGCGTCCGTTGAGAGACCACACATGACGCGACTGAAACTGGGCCTAAGCCCTCAGTACCAGTGTGACTGGATGGTAATTTTTTTCCCAACAAGTAACAGTGTTACTCATTTGGGTGCGACTCGTTGGGAACAAGCGCGTTTGACTACATCTTTTCTTTGAATTTATTCATCAAAAACTCATTTATTATGTAACATATTTTCCCTACCATATCTACACTAATATTATAAAGAGGAAAACTTTGTTTGGTTGTAATGAATAGGCTCAAAAACTACTGGACCGTTTTTAAAAATTCTTTCACCATTCGAAAGCTACATTATCCACGAGTAACATAAGATACATTTTATTTTTGAAAAAAAAAAAAAAAATGTCGTCCACGCGGGCGAAGCCGCGGGCGGAAAGCTAGTTTCAAATTAAAAAAAAAAATGATCATCACGAGATTCATTTCTGATAATTTTGTCAATTTCAAAGACCAGATTTAATTTTTTATTACTGCAAAGAGGCGGACAAAGTCGATAGATCAACATTTCAACAACTGTAATCGATAGTCGATAGGTTCGCACGGCAGCGTCATGCGCGGCTCACCGCGTCGGGCCGCTCGCGCTTGTCCAGCAGCAGCAGCGGCGGGTACTGCCGGCACTCGCAGCCCAACTCCATCTGCCGCCACAACAACGCTTAGCCCGGCCTTATGTCGCCACTGTGCGANAAATTTGGCATGCAGGTACCTTAGTAAACTTTAAGCTTAGTTACAACAGGATATTGCAAAATGTCCAAGGGAACGGGAGTTAGCGGGAAAAAACATTTGTATGAAAAATCTAAACCGCTTAAGTTAGACGCTTGAAATGGCAATGCCAGATTTTGTATGGAAGGTGGCGTCTTTTTTTTTTCGCGCGGCCATCGACCAAACTTTGTTTTTTGATTACAAAATAGTGTAATAAACCAAACTTACTATGACATGTATACCTCTAAACTCAGTCTGAACTGAGTTACGAGCATTAGAAGTTTGATGATTTTCATACTAGATTTGCTTTTTGGGCGTAAGTTTTGTAAGAAATTGCAACAAAATAGTGACATTGTATGTGTAAACAAACAATACCATCTATTAAAGGCCCCAGACATCAGTATGCAGCAGAATCAGCGCAATAAAAAAATAGCGCAATATTTTGTAGCAATTTCTTACAAAACTTGCGCGCAAAAAGCAAATCTAGTATGAAAATCATTAAACTTCTAATGCTCGTAACTCAGTTCAGACTGAGTTTAGAGGTATACATGTCATAGTAAGTTTGGTTTATTACACTATTTTGTAATCAAAAAACAAGGATTGGTCGATGGCCGCGCGAAAAAAAAAAGACGCCAATTTCCGGCATTGTCTTTTGGCATGCAGGTACCTTAGTAAACTTAAAGCTTAGTTACAACAGGATATTGCAAAATTCCCACGGGAACGGGAGTTAGCGGGCAAAAAAAATTGTATGAAAAAATCTGAACCGCGTAAGATAGATGAAGGGGCTGTAAAACGAGATCCACGCGTACGAAGTCGCAGGCGGCCGCTAGTTAAGAATATTCTCATTTGTGACAAATTGAGTCATTTGACCAGATCTTCATTTTCCAAGCTTCTTTAATATGAATTTCATAAAAATTACTCATAAAATTTTATAAAATCATCGATTTTCTGTTAGCCATTCTTGTAGCTTCACTTTTGCTTCCTAGCGCCACATGATCACTCTTACAAAACGTCCAGAATTACTTTTATTCGTGTATCAGAGGTTCTACAGAGGAACAGCTTACATTAAAATAAACCAGGGTTAAATAAAACCACACAAAAACCTTGGTGAGGTCACAGTAAGCCCCGCACTCGGTATGAAGCGCGTTATTCAGTAGTATAAAAGGACACGTATTCAACAGCTGATAATCGCATAGACAACAAATATTGTAGCACCACGATCTTATACACAACGGGTTTTAGGAAATAATAGCATAAATCGATTGCACATTGATTAATTTTTTTTAAATTGGTATGACGACACCAGAGAAAATAAAATTTCAAGAAGTATCAGTTGAGCTTTAAAACGTCAAATGGTCAAAACGTCAAAGATAGGAAATAGTAACCCGGCATTGATGGCAGCGCCTTTCTGCAAATAACATTTTGGTGTTTTCCAAACGTGGCAAAAATCGGAATCAGCGATCCGGTATTGACGGTGGCACCCCCCTCAGTTCAATCCCAATGTAGGACATAGTATGAAAAGTGTCATTTCTACGAAAAAAAATTTGACAGATCATTGGTAGGGGGCATCATGCCTTTTCCCATAGCCATAGTTATAAGATCGTGGTATTATAGCTCTAAATAAAATTGGATTTCATGTTTGCCATTATTATTCAGCAAACTTATACAGTTAAATATTTTTAAATGCATCTTTTAGAAATCATTTTTGTTATCAGCTGTTGACAAGCCACACGCACACTGCGTTAGGTCAGACGCTTGGTACTTCCGAAGATTGAACGTGTCGTGCAAATCGTATCGACATGATGATGACAAACAATCAAAAAGACATGGTTCACTATTAATTTTATCGGATCTACTTGAAAAAACTTTGATATATCGGCTTTGTCCATTATTTCTTTGTTTCTTTAATAATGAAATGTCTTTTATCCTGATATTAAAGTACTTAATGTGTGAGTGTGAGTTTACATCAAACGCGCTCACTAGTGAGCGCGTAAAAAAAAGACATTCAATGTATGTACGGATTGTACCAGCGCCCCTAGCGGATTTCAAGAACTAAAATTTTCATATGTTTTACGCTGACTAGTGAGCGCGTTTAATGTAAACTCACACTAAGGCCCAGAACAGACGGTGAAACGCAACTGCAACAGCTGCTAGTTACTTTTGAGTTGCATCTAAGTTTCTGCCATAGCGTCCGTTGAGAGACCACACATGACGCGACTGAAACTGGGCCTAAGCCCTCAGTACCAATGTGATTGGATGGTAATTTGTTTCCCAACAAGTAACAGTGTTACTCATTTGAATGCGACTTGTTATGAACAAGCGCGTTTGACTACATCTTTTCTTTGAATTTATTCATCAAAAACTCATTTATTAAGTAACATATTTTCCCTACCATATCTTCACTAATATTTTAAAGAGGAAAACTTTGTTTGTTTGTAATGAATAGGCTCAACAACTACTGGACCGTTTTTAAAAATTCTTTCACCATTCGAAAGCTACATTATCCACGAGTAACATAAGCTACATGTTATTTTTGAAAAAAAAAAAAAAAAAAAAATGTCGTCCACGCGGGCGAAGCCGCGGGCGGAAAGCTAGTTTCAAATTAAAAAAAAATGATCATCACGAGATTCATTTCTGATAATTTTGTCAATTTCAAAGACCAGATTTAATTTTTTATTACTGCAAAGAGGCGGACAAAGTCGATAGATCAACATTTCAACAACTCTAATCGATAGTCGACAGGTTCGCACGGCAGCATCATGCGCGGCTCACCGCGTCGGGCCGCTCGCGCTTGTCCAGCAGCAGCAGCGGCGGGTACTGCCGGCACTCGCAGCCCAGCTCCATCTGCCGCCACAACACAGTGACCACATGATCGCGCTATAAGGCCCGATTGCAATTACGACCGTGCTATAAGGCCCAATTAAGACTACGTAAGGCCCAGACTGTCACAACTACAGTGACGCAGCTGCAATGGCTCCATCTGCCGCCACAACATAGTGACAACATGATCGCTCTATAAAGCTATACGGCCCTAAAACCGATCATCCAGCCACTCCATCTGCCGCACAACAACGCTTAGCCCGGCCTTGTGTCGTCAGTGTGCGANTATAGGCCTTATTAAGACTACATAAGGCCCAGATTATCACAACTACAGTGACGTACGCAGCAGCAACGGCTCCATCTGCCGCCACAAAATAGTGACAACATGATCGCTCTATAAAGCTATACGGCCCTAAAACCGATCATCCAGCCACTCCATCTGCCGCACAACAACGCTTAGCCCGGCCTTATGTCGTCAGTGTGCGACTGCTATAGGCCTTATTAAGACTACATAAGGCCCAGATTATCATAACTACAGTGTCGTACACAGCAGCAACGGAACCATCTACCGCCACAACATAGTGACAACATGATCGCTCTATAAAGCTATACGACAATAAAACCGTTCATCTAGCCACTCCATCTGCCGCACAACAACGCTTAGCCCGGCCTTGTGTCGCCACTGTGCGACTGCTATAGGCCTTATTAAGACCACCTTGTGCTATAAGGTGCAAACTAGTCTATGATTGCGCTATAAGGCCCGATTGAGACACGTGCTTGACGGCACTAAAACTCTCCAGCTGCGACAACGCTTAACGGGACTGTGCGACTGCTATAGGCCTAATAATACCACCTTATGCTATAAGGCACTGACGCTACTACGACTGTGTTGTAAGGCCTTAATGACAACTACAACAGCAGCAGCGGCGGGTACTGCCGGCACTCGCAGCCCAACTCCATCTGCCGCCACAACACAGTGACAACATGATCGGCCGATCGGAGGATAAAGCTATACGGCGCTAAAATCCTCCATCTGAGGCCACAACGCTTATGCCATCCATTATCATGAACTGCGTTTGTGCTCCATTGAAACTACCTTTGTGCTGCGCAGTGGCAGGATTTTTTGCGTAAAATCAAATAGACCAGCCCTCGGAAACAGTGGCGAGGCCGACCTGCTTCCCGCGAAATTCCAGGCAGAGACATTAGGCCGGCCGAACATCGTGATTGTGTGACGGCTATAGGGCCCTATTTCGACTACGATCGTGCTGTAAGGCCTCAGCCTCGAACTTAGCGGGCAGCGGGGCGGGAGCGGCGGCGGCGCGGGAGCGGGGCGGGCAACGCAGACCCGTTCTCGAAACCAGCGGGCAGCTCGCGCGGCGCTTTAGCGGCGAAGTGTTGTGTTCGGGGTTGTGTTGTCGAGATATTTGTTTTTATTCGCAAACGAAATGTCTGAACAACGGCGACAATTTTATTTCGATTCAAATTTATTCCTAACGCTCGATTTATTGTGGGCAAAAGAAGGAGTGCGCTGCCCGCTCCCTCGCCGCTGCCCGCTCGTTGCCCGATGCCGCCCCGCTACCGCGCCGCTGTTTTCGAGAACCGGTCTATTTGATTTTACGCATAAGATCCTGCCGCTCCCGCGCCGCCGCCGCCGCCGCCCCGCTGCCCGCTAAGTTCGAGGCTGAGGCCTAAGGTCTAATCGCGACTGCTTCTGCTATAACACCCGATCGTGAATACATTCGTGCTTGAAGGCACAATCGTTATGATTGTGCTTCGGCGCCATTGCAGTAAACTATGTTCGAAAGATGCTGTAAGGGCCAATCGTGAACACTTTCGTGCTGCAAGGCTCTATCGCGACTATGATAGTGCTGATATATGCTCTAGTGAATGGCGCAATTGCAGTCAACAATGTAATAAACATTCTAGTGCAGTGTTTTTCAATCTGTGGGTCGCGAAGCCTCTATAGGGGTCGTGAGGGGTCGTAAAAATTACCTCAGTAAAAAAACAGTAAAGTTTTAAAGATAGATTTATCCGAAATCTAATTATGCAAATGCGTAAATATTGTAAGGATTGAAGTATTCGGTCCCTACAACATCTTTGTAACATTATAAAAGGCATGGAAAAAAAACGAACGGTCGGGGGTCGCGAAATATTTTTTCATACTAACTACTGGGGGTCGCGTCATGAAAAAGGTTGAAAAACACTGGTCTAAAGCCTGTTCCGTGAGCACGTAGAATCCCGTCCAATGACCCCAAAGTACCCATCCTTATCGCTCGCGCGTAATTATATTGCTGTAGCGACTGTGCGACGAGCGCCCGCAGTGAGTGTGCGAGCGCGACAGCAACATAATTACGTGCGAGCGACAAGGATGGGCAGCTTGGGGTCATTGGACGGGATTCTACGTGCTCACGGACCAGGCTTTAGTGAATGTGCACGACGTCGTTACATCGATCAATACATACATTATGGCCGTGCTGTAAGACCCACCCCTATAAACATAAAAGTCATTGTATTCAAGTGTATAAAGGTATATACGTGTATATTGTAGTACTCACGGCAGGATGCGGGTGCGGGATGTAGGCGGGCGGTTGCTGCGCCGCCGCCGCCGCCACCATCGCGTACGCCGGCACTGCCGGCACGGCCGCCACCTGCGAATGTGAACTCTATTGTGAATGGCATTCGGTGTCTTTTCAAATATATAATCAACATCAAATAAATCGCACCTTCCGCGACGCGAACTTTAAAGGTTTTCTTCTGACACAATCATGGTGCCCCAACAATATTGGTGTTATTTGAAAGCCCAATAAATATTCTTACAGAAAAACACATTTAATTTCTTAATAAATGATTAACATAATATATCATATATGTGACTTGAAAAAATACCTCACTTTGGGCTCACCTCTGGGATCAATTAGACAAATTTTTATGGTTATAAAACCAAATAATGATCTCACGTGTCCTCTTTAACAGATGGATAACGATTAATCCCAACTTAACAGTTTTGTAGCCATAAAAGTTGGCTCAAGCGTAACTACCTATTTTTTGAAGAAGACATTAGTGACTCTGGATCCTTCTACAGACACATTTGTGGGGTAAAAACCTTTCCTTTAATGAAATGAAGTTTAGAACTAGGCTTTTAAATGGTGCCAATATTGGTGGGAAGTGGGGATGCATACGTTTGAAAGTGCTTGTCGCGGGAGGGTCGATTTATTTGATGTCGAATGTAGTTTTTCTACCAGCTAATGCCAGCTATCTTCAAAACGCTGTCGATACTTTGAATTGGTATTACTATCCTCAGAAGCGTTCTAGGCGTCCTAAAAGGGGGATAGCCAGAACAAAGGCTAAGCTTAAAACCATATAAAGAACATAGACGCAAAATACAGGTTTCTAACCGCCGCAGAATCGAAGAAAGGTATAAATAAAAACTGTCAAGTATTACATCAGATCACATTGTCACGGGACCGATCGTTATGGGAATCCTGGGAGGAGGCTTTTGTCCAGCAGTGGACGTTATTCGGCTGAAAAGAACGAACGTTATCACACTCACCATATGCTGCGGCGGAGGGTGCGGCGCGGGCATGTAGCTGACGCCCGTGCCCACTACGCCCATACCTCCTAAGCCCACGCCCACACCCACTCCCACGCCGCCCACGCCCACGCCGCCGATCGGCGTGCCGGGGGTATGTGGCCTGTAATAGTGAAATAAACGTGGTTAAATAAGATCGAAGATATTATTATGTGAAGTGAAAAAAATCCCTGAGCTAACTTATAAACACGTTGTTCAAATGGATGAAAAGTTGTCCAATATAAAGATCATGATTAGAAATGAGTAATAGACACTTGGTGAGTAGACTGAAAACAAATACTAAACTTTTTTTTTTTTGGATGGCGCCACGCGAAGAAATTTTCATATAAACGCAATAGAAAAACAGTGTTCTGAGAATGTCATAAAAAGTATCTAATCGATAGGTGTCTAAACATCGCGGTTCTTGTCAAAGGATGTACGAGGGGTGTTCAAAAAGTAAAGGAATGGGATATTACTAGCCATCACAAAAACCTGAAAAAAATTGGGCAGGTAGCTAATTCTTCACTAGGAACTGGTAAGACGCAGGTGGACCGAGACCTCATGAAGAAAAGCCCTGGATGCATGCCGCTACCGCCGGTCAATGTGGAAAGGAAATCATTGGGGGAGGCCGATGTTCAGCTGTGGACGTCCTGTGGCTGAAATGATGATGGATAAGTTACTCACCGACTGGGGTTGGATTGGGGAAGGCCTATGTTCAGCAGTGGACGTCCTGTGGCTAAAATAATGGCTTAGTCATCAAAATGACAACCGGGACGCAAAATGTCCACAAATAATCGAAATATCCGAAATGGACAATATTACTATGAGAAGTTGTCTTTTAGCGAAGTTGACATTTTAAGAAGTTGTAATTTCGAGAAGTGGACATTTTGCATCCCGGTTGTCATTTTGAGAAGTTGTCATTTTGTTGACTAAGCCGAAATAATGATGAGTTGCTTACCGGCTGGGGTTGGGCGTGGTAGGGCTTCGCGGGGTGAATGTCTTGGCGGCGGGGTTGAACTCCTTCGCGTTGGGGTTGAGCGTGGCGGCGGCGGCGCGGGAGCAAGGTTCTGGAGTGGAGGCTACATACCGGAAAACACAGGTGGACCGAAGACCTCAGGGAAGAAAATGTTGGATGTAGGCCGCTACCGCCCGGGCGATGTGAAATCATTGGTGGAGACTTATGTCCTGTGGCTGAAATGATGATGTAGATGATAAGTTACTCAGCGTCTGGGGTTGGATTGGGGGAGGCCTATGTTCAGCAGTGGACATCCTGTGGCTGAAAAATTATGATTATAAGTTACTTACCAGCTGGGGTTGGATTGGGGGAGGCCTATGTTCAGCTGTGGACGTCCTGTGGCTGAAATAATGATAAGTTACTCACCAGCTGGTGTTGGATTCAGGAGGCCTATGTTCAGCTGTGTCCATATCCAGTGACTGAAATGATAATGATGCTAGTTAGTAACTTACCGACTCGGGTTGGGCGTGGTAGGGCTCCGCGGGGTGAATGTCTTGGTGGCGGGGTTGAACTCCTTGGCGTTGGGGTTGAGCGTGGACTTCTTGAGGTGTACGCCGACGGGTTAAGGCTATGGGGTGGAGGCCACATACCGGACAACGCAGGTGGACTAAAGACCTCATGAAGAAGGCGTTGGATGTAGGCCGCTACCAACCGGGAGATGTGGGGAGACCTATATTCAGCTGTGGACGTCCTGTGGCTGAAATGATGATGTTAAGTAACTTACCGTCTGGGGTTGGATTGGGGGAGGCCTATGTTCAGCAGTGGACATCCTTTGGCTGAAATGATGATGAAGATGATAAGTAACTTACCAGCTGGGGTTGGATTGGGGGAGGCCTATGTTCAGCTGTGGACGTCCTGTGGCTGAAATGATGATGATGAGTAACTCACCGGCTGGGGTTGGATTGGGGAAGGCCTATGTTCAGCAGTGAACGTCCTGTGGCTGAAATGATGATAAGTTACTCACCGGCTGGGGTTGGATTGGGGAAGGCCTATGTTCAGCAGTGGACGTCCTGTGGCTGAAATAATTATGAGTTACTCACCGGCTGGGGTTGGATTCGGGAGGCCTATGTTCAGCAGTGGACGTCCTGTGGCTGAAATAATTATGAGTTACTCACCGGCTGGGGTTGGATTCGGGAGGCCTATGTTCAGCTGTGGACGTCCTGTGGCTTAAATAATGATAAGTTACTCACCGGCTGGGGTTGCATTGGGGGAGGCCCATATTCAGCTGTGGACGTCCTGTGGCTGAAATAATGATAAGTTACTCACCGCCTGGGGTTGGATTCGGGAGGCCTATGTTTAGCAGTGGACGTCCTGTGGCTGAAATTATGATGAAGATGAGAAGTTACTTACCAGCTGGGGTTGGATTGGGGAGGCCTATGTTCAGCAGTGGACGTCCTGTAGCTGAAACGATGATGATGATGATAAGTTACTTACCGGCTGGTGTTGGATTCAGGAGGTCTATGTTCAGCTGTGGACGTCCTGTGGCTAAAATAATGGCTTAGTCATCAAAATGACAACCGGGACGCAAAATGTGCACAAATAATCGAAATATCCGAAATGGACAATATTACTATGAGAAGTTGTCTTTTAGCGAAGTTGACATTTTAAGAAGTTGTAATTTCGAGAAGTGGACATTTTTCATCCCGGTTGTCATTTTGAGAAGTTGTCATTTTGATGACTAAGCCGAAATAATGATGAGTAACTTACCGGCTGGGGTTGGGCGTGGAAGGGCTCCGCGGGGTGAATGTCTTGGCGGCGGGGTTGAACTCCTTGGCGTTGGGGTTGAGGGTGGACTTCTTGAGCGTGGCGGCGGCGGCGCCGGGAGACGTGGAGGCGGGCGGCGACGTGGATTCCGGCGAACGTTCCGGCGGCGGCAGCGGCTCTTCTGGCTTTGGGGCTGGCGGGGGCTGGTGAATGCGAAATGTATTAGTGAGAATAAAAATTATTCGTCATAATTATTATGCTTAATGTACAATGGATGAACAAGATCAAAACTGCTGCCAGGGGGCAACTTTAAAGCAAGCAATACTTATTTGCCTACAATATCAAATTCATGACGACTTAAGTCCACTGTCAAAAGTGTACGACACTTTAGAAGGAGAAGAGAAGCGATTGAAGGAGAAAATATGCGAAATCCTTCATTTGCCTCTAGTAAATTAAAGTCCGCTATACACGGACAGCTTGAAGCAGCTATAACAGTTTTAAGCTGGGATTGCATCGCAACCTTAATTATTCGATGACACACAAATCTACATAAAACCGCTCGAGCAGTCAGCTTAAAGCTGTCGGTACTAGCTGTTTTAAGCTGTCCTTGTATAGAGGGCCTAAGAGGGTCGTTTTCATGCAATGGAGGCTATATGGCCTAATGATGATGTCTTGCGATCATTGACAAATCGTGGCATATGGTGGCGAGTGTAGGCCATATTCTCCATTTGTTATTTGGTGCTCCCGCAGTGGAGACTATAGTCCAGTCACCGAGCACGTAGAATTTCGTCCAATGACCCCAAGTTACCCATCCTTATCGCTCGCGCGTAATTATGTTGCTGTCGCGCTCGCACACTCACTGCGGGCGCCCGTCGCACAGTCGCGACAGCAATATAATTACGCGCGAGCGATAAGGATAGGTAGCTTAGGGTCATTGGACGAAATTCTACGTGCTCGGCGACCAGACTTTAAATAACCTAACGTTTACCTTGTGGTGCTTGGGCTCGTGCGGCGGGTGCGGGTGGTAGTGCTTGTGCAGCGGCGGCGCGGCGGCGCTGGCCGATACTTCCGGCGGGCTGGGCGCCGGCGCCGGCGCCGCGGGCGGCTGGCACTGCTGGGAGCGACCATAGCAAGGTGAGCCAGTGTTTCAAATTATTTTATTGCATGTCACATGAGTAAGGGTTGATATAAAAGGGTTTCCGGATAAACAAAGTTAATACTATACTTTGTTATACTTTTTGTTTTTAATTTTGTGTTTTGATAGCTGACTGTGGGCTGAGTGTGAGTTTACATCAAAATTGTATGTCAATTTTAGTTTTTGATAGTTTCCCGCTAGGGGCGTTGTACAATCCGTCATACATTTAATGTAATTTTTTGACGCGCTCACTAGTGAGCGCGTTTGAAACAATTTCACACTCAGCCCTCTGGTAATTTTTTTAGGCAAATACATTTCTTGATTTTAAGCAAGGATTTAATTTCCGCCGTACGCTGTCCATCGCACTAGGCTTGTAGCCCCAATTACTTTTACTACTCACAAAATAAGAATAAGAATAACTTTATTGATGTAAATACACTGTAACATTTTATATTGAAACCCTGACTCCTAAACTAGTGTAAACTGTATTTCAGCAGCCAGTGTCTTCCCAATAGGTGAATACAGACAGTTGATATATGTATTACACATCGTAAGGTACATAATTTCTCGAATTTTTTTTTTCGAATAAATACTTACGTTTTTGTTAATTTCTTGTGACTCCGCAATAATATAAGAAGGTGAATGATTTACCACTGGCGGCGGCGGCGGCGGCTGCGGCTGCGGCTGCGGTTGCGACTGCGGCGGCGGCGCGGGCGACGATACCAGCTTGAACTCCGCGCCGAATTTGCGAAGCTCCTGCGGAAATAGAGGACAGATTTATTCACAACTGTTAGTTTTACAACCCAACATTATTTTAAAATAAATAATCACATATTTAGTTGTGTGTGACAAAAGCTTTTATTTATCAAGTGAATTATTTTTTGTAAGTTTTTATTTATTTAGTAAAAACAAACAGCAGTCCAGTGCCCCAATGTTCACTAAAACCAACGTCGTTTTACTCGTGGCATACTGTCACAACTCATTTTGAGATATGGACCTTTTTAGCACATTTTTTGCTTACAATAAATTCTTGTAGTAACGTAACGGCCAAGCCACATAATTTATAATGACTAAGGTAAGGTGTAGAATTTGTTAAGTCAAGATCAAATCAAAATTTATTTATTTTCTTATAAGGCACATTTACAGGGGTTTGGAGTGTCCTTTTGTTTTTTTTTCTTTATTAAGGAAACAAACAGTATTGAGTTGATACATGTGAACTTAAAAAATAAAAACAGTACAGTAGCCTAATCAGTTTCCACAGATAAACTTTACAAGGTTACAAAAAACTGTATTAGTTAGGGTTTGTAAAGAAACTGATCTTTACATTCAAACTGTTAACTTTTTCACAATGCAAGCCTCTATGGTCTGTTTGGCAACATTTTACATGAAGTTGTTGTTTGGTGGGATATTTTGTGTGGGAAATAAAATATAGACTTTCTATGTATCTAAAGTCTGGTCGCCGAGCACATAGAATTTGGTCCCCAAGCTAGCTTCCTATCCTTATCGCTCGCGCGTAATTATATTGCAGTCGCGCTCGCACACTCACTGCTGCCGCCCGTCGCAGTCGCAACAGCAATAAGGATGGGTAGCTTGGGGTCATTGTACGAAATTCTACGTGCTCGGCGACCGGACTATACGTAAGGTTATCTCTTACCTGCACCTCGTCCTGGCGGCGCGGCTCGGGCGCGTGGTGGCGCGGCGGCCGCGGGTGCGCCTCGCCCGCCAAGGGGGGGTTCTGTGCCCGACAATAAACTTTGTTAGTAACAACATCCTAGACTGCATCGCACTTAACATCAGGTGCGATTGTGGTCGAATACCTGCCTTGTTATGCATAAAAAAATAAAAACTTGTGCTATAATAACACGACTATAGTCTGGTCGATGAGCACGTAGAATTTTGTCCAATGACCGTGCTCGCACACTCACTGCGGCCGCCCGTCGCACAGTCGCGACAGCAATATAATTACGCGCGAGCGATAAGGATGGGTAGCTTGGGGTCATTGGACAAAATTCTACGTGCTCAGCGACCAGACTTTAGGTAGACTAAGAGCTGCCATTATGCCGCGAATGTTCAATTTAGGATAATAACTCGCGGCGTCATATCATTGATCTCAGAGGCGAGTCAGATTTAGTAGGTAGGCCCCGCCCTTCTGCTGGGGAGTCCCATATAACCCACAACAATGCGTTCAGCCTTTCCCGGTGAAAAAAGGAGTCGTCGGTACATACATCAATGCTGATAACCAACAGCTCAGCAAAAAAGACTAGAGAATGTTAGCTCATTGGTCAGACACCTGTGAGCTAACATGCGACAGGAACTGTTTGATCTGGCAAGATAGCAACTTTAAAGCAATTCCACCTTCTTAACAATCATGTAGAAACAATTTGTTATAATAATATGTACTGTAAACATAACCGAAACTGCGCGAACAATATTCTGGATTCTTGACTTACTTGTTCGGAATAAGACCGTAAAGTTACCTTAAATTAAATATTAAGGCTGAGTTGCACCACCTAACTTTGACCGTAAGGGGGCGTCCATAAATTACGTGAGACTTTTAGGGGGGGGGGAGGGGGTCAACGAAAACCTCACTAAATCTCACGTGGGGGAGAGGGGGGGTCTCGGAAAATATCACGTAATTTTTCCCGCAAGAAATAGAGTAAAATTGCCAGAAAACTGGGTTATTGAAGTAAAAAAAAATGTTTTTTTTATGATGATAATGACAATTTATTCCAAACCGTCTAATCAAATTAAACTAAAAATGCCTCCATCTGCATTTGTGAACACTAAATATGCAGAATAAATGTCGAAATTTAGAAAATTCGAAATTAAAAAAAACGTCATCGGCATCGCTACTGTGTAAAATATTGGCCAAGTGCGTGTCGTGCCACGCGCAGAGTAGGGTTCCGTAGTTGTCTGTCGTTACCATAATATTTTCAGAAGCAAGCAATTACTTCATCTAAAGTGACTTTTCATACTTTCTTCTAAGGAATTTTTATTGGTTAAGAAATTGTATAATACATGAGTCAAATGACTATTACTCTTAAACTAAGGTAATGTCTCATAACCGTTGTAGTTTTCCTTGAAAAAATTCATCCCCACTTTACATGCAGGGGAGCCACCCCAGAAAAAAATTTTTTTTTTCATTATTTTATTTTCCGTTTTGTCGGCGTGATTAATAACATACCTTCACAAAATTACAGCTCCCCAGTGCCAATAGTTTCCAAGCGAAACCTCGGACAGACAGACAGACATTTTGAAACTATGTATAAGGGTTCCTTGTCAGGACTACGGAACCCTAAAAAATGTCATTACATAGGTATGAAAATATTATGTATTCGAAGTTAAAGTAATCAATAGTCAAATTTGACAGATGTCAAATGACAAGTGGTTAAACAGAAAAAAATGTTTTTATAACAATGTTTAACTTGACTTTTAGTACATTTTTAACTATTAGTTTACGTTTTATTAATATTTAACCATTAATAGCAAAATTTAACAATTATTTATTTTAACTATGAATCAAAAAACTGGTCTTAGGTTGAAGCAATTGTTTGTCTTACTAAACGACGGGAAGCTACGGAACAAAACGAAATAAAATAAAATAAAATAAAATAACCCTGCACTGCGCGTGGCACGACACTGGGTTACTGATTTTTTCATATAAATCTAATAGACTCGAAGCAAAGACATTGCAAAATAGGTATTTTTATTGGCTTAAATATCACGTGAGATTAGGGGGGTGGGGGAGGGGGTCAGGCAAAATCTCACCAAATCTCACCAAGGGGGGCGGGGGGGTTAAAAATTGGCCAAAATTGTCTCACGTAATTTATGGACGCCACCTAACTATAACAATAACCTGATTTTTGTATCGAGTTTGACAGATTTTTGACGTTTGTCAAAGTTAAAGAAAGATGGTGCAACCCAGCCTAAGTTATTGCTACCAACCGGCCAATCTGGAAGTCATTGGTAGAGACTTATGTTCAATAGTGAACGTCCCGTGGCTGAAATGATGATGATGAAATGACAATAAATGACTTACGTGGTGGTGGTGTGGCGGGAATCCCTGTCTGGGATGCGGCGGGCCGCGCGGCTCGCCGTTCACTTTATTGGGAGGTGTAGCCCTGGGAACAATGCACATTTTATTATATCTTTTGTTATACTCGTACAATTCAAGGCGCGCTATGTTCAGCAGTGGATATCCTGTGGCTGAAATGNCATGTAGGTACCTTAGTAAACTTAAAGCTTAGTTACAACAAGTATTTCCCGAAATTCCCACGGGAATAAGAATTAGCGGGAAAATCCTTTTGTATGAAAAATCTAAATCCTTTTGTATAAAAAACCCCTACTCTTCCCGCGGGTGTCGTAAGAGGCGACTTAGGGACTACACATCAAACAGAGAATGGGCAGCAGCGCTCTCTGAAAAACATCAATCTTTTAAACTGCGATCTCCAACCCGCCTGCCTAGCGTGGAGATTATGGCAAAACCCTCCACTATAGTGGAGGAGGCTCATAGTCCAGCAGTGGACTGTAAAGGGCTGTTGATGATTGATGATGATGAAAAATCTAAACCGCTTAAGTTAGACGCTTGAAATTTGGCATGCAGGTAACTTAGTAAACTTAAAGCTTAGTTAAAACAGGATACTGCAAAATTCACACGGGAACGGGAGTTAGCGGGAAAAACATTTGTATGAAAAAATCTAAACCGCGTAAGATAGATGAAGGGGGTTAAAACGGGATCCACGCGTACGAAGTCGCGGGCGGCCGCTAGTAATAAATAAATAAAGACCGTTTTCTATCAAAACTGCGGAGCTCTGCTCAATAATCTCCATTAAAGCTAATCTCTGATAGAATGGGACGTATAAATAACGAAATGTTGTCTTTGGTTAAGAGGAAACCAGTCATAAGCGGCCAGTTACTTTCGAAATAGCTTGACAGAGCGAAGTAACTTGTCACGTTAGTAACTATGTCTAGGGGGGGCTGGTGATGATGAATATTGTAAGTGATTTGAGGGCATAGTCAAGTACTTTTCGTGACAGTTTTACTTTCCAAATCCTTTGATAGAACGAAGTAACTTAAGTTAGAGCGAAACGATTTCGCTATTACAGCTATCCACGTTTCTAACTTGTCTATGAGGGCATGACAGGATTCACATTGACCGGCGCGAGTCGGCGCGCAGCGCAACGTTCGTCCGGCCAAAAATGCGGTAGAATCCACGCGTCTGCGCGCGTATTCGCTGGAATACGCTCGGAGCCGACCGGCTTCCAACGAATGCTCGCGCATCCGTCCGGATTGAAATGTCAGTTAATCAGTTGTAAGAAATTACGACTCCAAGAACTGTTAATGAAATACTATTTTCTTTAGGCGATTATCACACTGCACCGCGCTCCGCCGCGGTCCGCGTGATTACATATAACGAATCCCGCGGGCAGACGCGTTGTCAGTGTGTTGTGCCGCGCGTGTTTTCTATACAAACTGAGGTACTTGCATACAATGATTAAATCTGTCGTCCCGCGTACCGCGGCGAAGCGCGATGCAGTGTGCTAATCGCCTTACGGCCGTGTAATTGCGCTCCGACGCGCTCCGCGAAGGGTATCGTCCCTAAGGGGGCTGGTGATGATGGAGCCAGTACTCACTGCGCGTGGTGCGGGTGGTAGCCGCCGGCCTGCGCGGCGTAGCTCTTGGCGCCGGCGCCGCTGCTGTTGCTGCCGGGACCTGCCGGGTTGCTGGGCGGCTGCGGGGAAAATGTTACTCAGTTAAGATGTCAGAAGGTTCTTATACATAGGATATAGGGTCAGAAATTCAAAATACATAAACATTTGTGTTAGTATTACNGCGCTTCGCGTAAACGCTCTTAATTACATTATTTATTTTACCATAAATAGGGAACAAATTCAGTTTCAGGGATAGAAAGTTGTCAATGACAATGAGGGTTTTCGCGTATGAAAGATCCGCTAGATGGCGGGACGTGGATGTGGGGTCTGACTGCTGCGTGATTGGTGGATTTTGACATATCTGTCAATGTCATGTCAAAAATAACCAATCATGCAGCATTTGGGCCTCGCGTCTACGTATTGCCGCGGATTTTTCTACGAGAAAACCCTCATTGAGAGCTATCGTTCGCATCCCACAGTTGGCACCACTGGCGAAGTCGTGATTGACATGACCCTACACTACAGAGGCGCCATCCTGGTGGAATACAAATGCAACAGTCCTCGTACCACTTCAGTGCTCACCAGTTGGCGTCACTGTCTTGGCCACTAGCATTATGAGGCCAAATGGTAAGCGTTAAACCTAAGCTGCTCAACCTTTTGAAGAGTCAGGCCAAACGGTGGATTCAGTCGTTAACGACGGGCCACTTACATTTCCTATTTCAGTTACTGTGATTTTTGAATTCAAATTTCGAATTTCAAACCATACTTGCGGCGCAGGCCATTTAATTTTTTTATCATTCTTCGAGCCTGGGGTTGAGCAGCCTTGCGTTAAACCTTATCTACTGGCCATATTTCAGTAAGTTCAGACAGGCAAGAAATTGTTTCATCTCACTCATTCATACTTTCATTTTGTTCGTTCTTCTTACGTATAAAGCCATGTATTTATTTATTAGGCAACATTTGTTGATAAACACTGTTTATAAACTGTTCATGTTTCATCATCTCTGTAAACAGTTTATAAACAGTCCATAAACATAGGTGATGAAACATTGTTTCTGATAGGTACATGTTGCCGTGCTCCCCGCTATGAGTGGAGAGCAAGTGTGGACGGCCAAGTTTCAGAAACCTTTGTTTATGGTAAACTTGTTTCACACTAATTATAAACAGTTTATCAACAAATGTTGCCTAATGAATACATGGCTTTACGTATCATTCATACATTATGACAATTTACATATTAAACTTCCATAGATTTTATTGTTCGATATGAGATCGTTTTTTTATGCATAACAAGGCAAAATTATTCGTAAAATGATAAAACAAATGACTTACGTGATGGTGGTGTGGCGGGAATCCCTGTCTGGGGTGCGGAGGGCCGCGCGGCTCGCCGTTCACTTTGTTGGGAGGTGTGGCCCTGTTAAACAGAACAAAAGTTATAGATAAAATATATCTGACAGGTAGTAGTTACGTCAAGAAATTTTGGTGTAAATAAACATTGTAGTTATGATGTTATTATTACTATTTTAACTAGATTTATATAAACTATATTTAACACATTAAAAGCCTATAACTAGTTTTAACACGTCCGTCCTATCAGACCGATGTCAATACAAAGGTAATTGTTTGAATTGGCCGCTGCGATACAAGCTTTCTAGCTTAGTGCAGAGACCGCCAGAATAAATTGTACATGTGACATCTTTGAGAAATAAACACTTTTTTACTTTACTTTAAAACAGGCTACTTCATGATCATAAGACAATTAAAAAAAAACATAGTGTTTACACAAAAGGGTCGTCGTATCCTGCAGTTGAAGGCGGCGACTAAATAAAGCCTTGTTCGCACTAGTTGAATATTTAGTAGCTCGCCTTCAGGAACTAAAATACTTGCTACTGACAAAAAACCGATACTTGCTGTCTTTTTAAGATTATTGTCTTCTTGAAGTAAAGTTTATTCTAATCAGTGGTGGCGTAGCATGGATTGGCACCCGGGGCGATCCCCCCATAAGTCCTAAGGCACCCCCTGGTACCCCCCAGGATTTTGGGGTTACCTACCGATTCGAAGACTGAAAGATAATCGCATCCCCCGTATCATGACATAGACTGCAGACTTGCCATGCAGATGCGTCAGTGAGTACTAATCTGCGCGACTTGTGTCACCCCCTGGCACCCGGGGCGGACCGCCCACACCGCCCCCCCTGTCTAAGATTATTGTCTATTCTATTGGCGTGGAGTAAAGTCTATTGTAATTCTATTGGCGTGGAGTAAAGTCTATTGTAATTCTATTGGTGTGGAGTAAAGTCTATTGTAATGTGTTGTGAACTCACTGCGCGTGGTGCGGGTGGTAGCCGCCGGCCTGCGCGGCGTAGCTCTTGGCGCCGGCGCCGCTGCTGTTGCTGCCGGGACCCGCCGGGTTGCTGGGCGGCTGCGGGGAAAACATTACTCAGTTAAGATGTCAGAAGGTTCTTATACATAGGATATAGGGTCAGAAATTCAAAATACATAAACATTTGTGTTAGTTTCGATCGAATAAATAAATAAATATAAATATCCTTGGACATTTTACACTGCGCTTCTAGTCCCAAACTAAGCAAAGCTTGTACTATGGGTACTAGACAACGGATATAATAAACATACTTAAATACTTTTATATAGAAAACACCCAGTCCAATACAAACAAATATGTTCATGCACACAAATGTTTGTACTGTGTGGGAATCGAACCCGCAACCTCCGGAATAGTAGTCCGTTTCGAACCACTACACCAAACGGCCGACTGAGAATAAGAAGCAGGTTTGCCAGTGGTCCCGCGTCACCAGAGCGCTTTCACATTAGGGCGTTAGAAGCGCGGCAGCGGCGTTTTTATAATGTGAACGCATGCATCCGCTGTCACATGGTATGAAATTTTCGGCAGCGCGTCTGTCGCGCTACTAAATCACCTAAATGTGAAAGCGCTCTAAGATTGTACGTGCGCGCTTCGGAAAAAGCACCCTAGCGTGCTTAAGGGGCGCATCCAAAACGACCCGTTTGAAAAGCGTCAAGCCCCAATAAACACAACCAGATGGTCCCAATTCGTTTTTAGTAGGTAAATCCCGCTCTTAGCACATAGTCCATTAGTCCCTCAGGAAATTCAATACAATATTTTGAAACGACGTAAACGATATAGCCCGATGGATTAGCAAGCTGAAGTGGCAATGGGCAGGGCACATAGTACGCAGAACTGACGGCCGATGGGGCAGCAAGGTTCTGGAGTGGAGGCCACGTACCGGAAAACACAGCGTGTGACGTCCACAAGGTGGACCGACATCATAAAGGCGCCTTCCTAGGCAATGGACGCAGGCCGCTACCAACTGGTCAACATGGAAATCATTGGGGGAGGCCTAAGTTCAGCAGTGAACATCTTATGGCTAAAATGATGATGACGACGACTAATCGCAAAACACCAACCGTGTCGTCGTGTCGGCGCGGCGAATAAAAAATAAATAAAATACCTTTGACCAGTGTTGCCAGTGATGGTATACGGATCTGAGACGTGTTCGCTTACTATGGGCTTCATAAGAAGGCTCAAGGTCACCCAAAGGGCGATGGAGCGGGCTATGCTCGGAGTTTCCCTGCGTGATCGGATCAGAAATGAGGAGATCCGCAGGAGAACCAAAGTGACTGACATAGCTCGCAGGATCGCTAAAATCAAGTGGCAGTGGGCGGGGCACATAGCTCGAAGAGCTGATGGCCGCTGGGGCAGGAAAGTTCTTGAGTGGCGACCACGAGCCGGAAGACGTAGCGTGGGCAGGCCTCACTAGGTGAACCGACGATCTGGTGAAGGTCGCGGGAGGCGCAGGACAGGTCTTTGTGGAAATCCTTGGGGGAGGCCTTTGTCCAGCAGTGGACATCTTTCGGCTGAAACGAACGAAGTATAACATAGCTCGAAGAGACGATGGCCGTTGGGGCAGGAAAGTTCTCGAGTGGCGACCACGGGCTGGAAGACGTAGCGTGGGCAGGCCTCCTACTAGGAAGACCGACGATCTGGTGAAGGTCGCGGGAGGCGCAGGACCGTTAATTATGGAAAACCTTGGGGGAGGCCTTTGTCCAGCAGTGGACATCTTTCGGCTGAAACAAACGAAGTATAACATACCGTGTCGTCGCGGCGAGTCGCGCGCGTCATTGGGCGGCGGCTTGCGAGGGCGGGCGGCAGGCTGCCCCGTCGTGTCGTATACACCTACCGTGTCGTCGTGTCGTCGCGGCGAGTCGCGCGCGTCGGCGGGCGGCGTGAGGTGGTGCCTGGGCGGGCGGGGGTCCTTGGGCGGCGGCTTGCTAGGGCGGGCGGCAGGCTGCCCCGTCGTGTCGTATACATCGTACCGTGTCGTCGTGTCGGCGCGGCGAGTCGCGCGCGTCGGCGGGCGGCGTGAGGTGGTGCCTGGGCGGGCGGGGGTCCTTGTCCCGCGCGTCTTTGGGCGGCGGCTTGCTGAGGGCGGGCGGCAGGCTGCCCCCGTTGTTTGTGCTCGGCTTCACTAGTTTGCCGGTCTGGAAATGGTCAAGTTTATAGGTTAGTCCAAAGTACTCAGAAGGGATAAGTGTTGCGTCATTGAAACAAGGATGAAGAGTGAAAGGAATCTCAATGAATCTCAGTGAAAGGAATCGAAAAAAAGGAATCTCAATCGGTTTTCTACAGGTTACACTTCTTCTCCTTCAGTGCTATATACCGACAACTGAGCTACCTAAGAGCCACGTACCTGCATGTTTTTCCTCTTGTTGGGTTCCTACGGCTTTAACGGATCAGTTTCTCTCCGCTAACAAGCGACCACTGAGCTACCTGAGCCACTCACCTGCATGTTCTTCCTCTTGTTCGGTATGACGTACTTGGCGGGCGCTCTCTTCGCTACTTACAAACTACAACTGAGCTACCTGAGCTACCATTGAGCCACACACCTGCATGTTCTTTCTCTTGTTGGGTTCCTACGGCTTCAACGGATCAGTTTCTCTCCGCTAACAAGCGACCACTGAGCTACCTGACCTACCAAGGAGCACGTACCTGCATGTTCTTCCTTTTGTTCGGTATGACGTATTTGGCGGGCGCATCGGGCCTCACCACCGCGGCGTATCGCTCCTTTTATGAGGGCGCTCTCTCCATTAACAACCACTGAGCTACCTGAGCTACCAAGGAGCACGTACCTGCATGTTCTTCCTCTTGTTGGGTATAACATACTTGGCGGGTGCTCTCTTCGCTACTTACAACCTACAACTGAGCTACCAAGGAGCACGTACCTGCATGTTCTTCCTCTTGTTGGGTATGACGTACTTGGCGGGCGCTCTCTCCGCTGCTTACAACCTACAACTGAGCTACCTGAGCTACGTACCTGCATGTTCTTACTCTTGTTCGGTATGACGTACTTGGCGGGCGCTCTCTTCGCTACTTACAACCTACAACTGAGCTACCTGAGCTACCANGAAAAACTTTCGAGTTCGTTTCGTTGCGTATTCAAAGTGTCATCGAAAAATTTTGTATGAAAAATTAAACAGCGCCCCCTAGGGCGGCTATAATATAGGGGGCGCTGTTTAATTTTTCATACAAAATTTTTCGATGACACTTTGAATACGCAACGAAACGAACTCGAAAGTTTTTCCTACTAGAGGTACTGGTTATAGCCTACCGTGTCGTCGTGTCGTCGCGGCGAGTCGCGCGCGTCGGCGGGCGGCGTGAGGTGGTGCCTGGGCGGGCGGGGGTCCTTGTCCCGCGCGTCTTTGGGCGGCGGCTTGCTGAGGGCGGGCGGCAGGCTGCCCCCGTTGTTTGTGCTCGGCTTCACTAGTTTGCCGGTCTGGAAATGTTTAAGTTTATAGGTTAGTCCAAAGTACTCAGAAGGGATAAGTGTTGCGACATTGAAACATGGATGAAGAGTGAAAGGAATTTTGATAAGAGGAAAGAAGTGCAGCATCTCAATCGGTTTTCTACAAGTTACACTTCTTCTCCTTCGGTGCTAAAACCGACAACTGAAATACCTGAGCCACACACCTGCACGTTCTTTCTCTTGTTGGGTTCCAACGGCTTCAACTGATCAATTTCTCTACCCTAACAAGCCCTTACACCTTTTCATTCCATCTTAGGTGCTTCATTCCCATTCCATCCAGGCTGATCCACCTGTCGGTGCACCCCTAGCCACAGGAAGGGAGGATGTTGGGCTAGTGTCGGCTCATATACCCATTTACCTAACACCCTGTATATGTTTTTTATAGCCGTCTGGGCATTTAACGCAGAAATACATATTTATTTTAAATCGAAGATATTTTCTTATTTCCGCACGCCCGAGCGGCTGTCCGCAGGTTTCTTATCTATAAGAACTAGGTAATTAATTAACCTGAGCCACTCACCTGCATGTTCTTCCTCTTGTTGGGAATGACGTATTTGGCGGGCGCGTCGGGCCGCACTACCGCGGCGTAGCGCTCCTTGTATGAGGGTGCTCTCCGCTAGCAAGCGACCACTGAGCTACCTGAGCTAAGCTGAGCTACCAAGGAGCACGTACCTGCATGTTCTTCCTCTTGTTGGGTATGACGTACTTGGCGGGCGCGTCGGGCCTCACCACCGCGGCGTATCGCTCCTTGTACGAGGGTGCTCTCCGCTAGCAAGCGACCACTGAGCTACCTGAGCTAAGCTGAGCTACCAAGGAGCACGTACCTGCATGTTCTTCCTCTTGTTGGGTATAACATACTTGGCGGGCGCGTCGGGCCTCACCACCGCGGCGTAGCGCTCCTTGTATGAGGGTGCTCTCCGCTAGCAAGCGACCACTGAGCTACCTGAGCTAAGCTGAGCTACCAAGGAGCACGTACCTGCATGTTCTTCCTCTTGTTGGGGATGACGTACTTGGCGGGCGCGTCGGGCCGCACTACCGCGGCGTAGCGCTCCTTTTATGAGGGTGCTCTCCGCTAGCAAGCGACCACTGAGCTACCTGAGCTAAGCTGAGCTACCAAGGAGCACGTACCTGCATGTTCTTCCTCTTGTTGGGTATAACATACTTGGCGGGCGCGTCGGGCCTCACCACCGCGGCGTAGCGCTCCTTGTATGAGGGTGCTCTCCGCTAGCAAGCGACCACTGAGCTACCTGAGCTAAGCTGAGCTACCAAGGAGCACGTACCTGCATGTTCTTCCTCTTGTTGGGTATAACATACTTGGCGGGCGCGTCGGGCCTCACCACCGCGGCGTAGCGCTCCTTGTATGAGGGTGCTCTCCGCTAGCAAGCGACCACTGAGCTACCTGAGCTAAGCTGAGCTACCAAGGAGCACGTACCTGCATGTTCTTCCTCTTGTTGGGTATAACATACTTGGCGGGCGCGTCGGGCCTCACCACCGCGGCGTAGCGCTCCTTGTATGAGGGTGCTCTCCGCTAGCAAGCGACCACTGAGCTACCTGAGCTAAGCTGAGCTACCAAGGAGCACGTACCTGCATGTTCTTCCTCTTGTTGGGTATAACATACTTGGCGGGCGCGTCGGGCCTCACCACCGCGGCGTAGCGCTCCTTGTATGAGGGTGCTCTCCGCTAGCAAGCGACCACTGAGCTACCTGAGCTAAGCTGAGCTACCAAGGAGCACGTACCTGCATGTTCTTCCTCTTGTTGGGGATGACGTACTTGGCGGGCGCGTCGGGCCGCACTACCGCGGCGTAGCGCTCCTTTTATGAGGGTGCTCTCCGCTAGCAAGCGACCACTGAGCTACCTGAGCTACCAAGGAGCACGTACCTGCATGTTCTTCCTCTTGTTAGGTATGACGTACTTGGCGGGCGCGTCGGGCCTCACCACGGCAGCGTAGCGTTCCTCTTCGTCCCCGTTTTCAGCGTCGATTCGCGCTTTGTAAGCCGGCGCGCTTTCGATCTCCGCCGCGATTTCTTCCGCTTTCGCCTCAGCGTCTCTGGAGAGTAAAAAAACCGTTATTTATATGTCAAAAAATATCTAGAATGGTTCCTAGCAATGGTAAGTCGTATAAAAACTAGGGTCAAAACTTCTAGCTGTAACAGCTGTGGATAAGGAACGCTCGTAGGTTCTGATGTTGCACGATTTAACTTTCTGCCGGAATAAACTTGGCCTTTACTGGTTGCTATTTTTTGGTGTTTTTTAAGCTGTAGATAATAATAATAATAAATAATAATAAATATCCTTGGACATTTTACACTACGTTTCTAGTCCCAAACTAAGCAAAGCTTGTACTATGGGTACTAGACAACGGATATAGACATACTTAAATACTTTTTTTTTGTAAATACATACATTTTACATAGTAACACCCAGACCCATCACAGAAATTAAAATTCATCATTTCAATTTCTGCCCGGCCGGGAATCGAACCCGGGACCTCTCGGCATAGTAGTCCGTATCGAAAATACTACACCAAACGGCCGACCTACACACACACGCTACACAGGAGTTGCGGCAGTGTGAATAGTGCCGTTTTAGATGCTCATGACGACACAGCTCGCAATGGACCGGTAGCGCTCGTTCATAGTCCCGAATGCTCACCTGTAGGCCGGGTGCTCGCCTATAGTCCCGGGTAGCTCACTGTGGATGTTCACCTGTCGGCCGGGTGCTCACCTGTAGTCTCGGGTAGCTCACTGGGGGTGCTCACCTGTAGTCCAGTGTGCTTACCTATAGCCCTGGCTAGCTTACTGGGGGTGCTCTTCCCATAGGAAACTTCCGAGTAGCGGTCCTGGCTCGCTCGCCTGTAGTCCTGGGTCGCTCGCCTGTAGTCCTGGGTCGCTCGCCTGTACTCATGGCTCGCTCGCCTGTAGTCCTGGGTCGCTCGCCTGTAGTCCTGGGTCGCTCGCCTGTAGTCCTGGCTCGCTCGCCTGTAGTCCTGGCTCGCTCGCCTGTAGTCCGGGCGCTCACCTGTAGTCCTGCGTGTCCTTGCGCTGCAGCGGCAGCGTGTACCCGGCCAGCGAGTGGTCGTAGGTGGAGTGCACGCCGTACACCTCCTCGTTCTTGCGGAACATGTCGTTGGCGTCCCAGCCGTTGGCGCGGTGCTCGCCTGTAGTCCTGGCTCGCTCGCCTGTAGTCCTGGCTCGCTCGCCTGTAGTCCTGGCTCGCTCGCCTGTAGTCCTGGCTCGCTCGCCTGTAGTCCTGGCTCGCTCGCCTGTAGTCCTGGCTCGCTCGCCTGTAGTCCTGGCTCGCTCGCCTGTAGTCCTGGCTCGCTCGCCTGTAGTCCTGGCTCGCTCGCCTGTAGTCCTGGCTCGCTCGCCTGTAGTCCTGGCTCGCTCGCCTGTAGTCCTGGCTCGCTCGCCTGTAGTCCTGGCTCGCTCGCCTGTAGTCCTGGCTCGCTCGCCTGTAGTCCTGGCTCGCTCGCCTGTAGTCCTGGCTCGCTCGCCTGTAGTCCTGGCTCGCTCGCCTGTAGTCCTGGCTCGCTCGCCTGTAGTCCTGGCTCGCTCGCCTGTAGTCCTGGCTCGCTCGCCTGTAGTCCTGGCTCGCTCGCCTGTAGTCCTGGCTCGCTCGCCTGTAGTCCTGGCTCGCTCGCCTGTAGTCCTGGCTCGCTCGCCTGTAGTCCTGGCTCGCTCGCCTGTAGTCCTGGCTCGCTCGCCTGTAGTCCTGGCTCGCTCGCCTGTAGTCCTGGCTCGCTCGCCTGTAGTCCTGGCTCGCTCGCCTGTAGTCCTGGCTCGCTCGCCTGTAGTCCGGGCGCTCACCTGTAGTCCTGCGTGTCCTTGCGCTGCAGCGGCAGCGTGTACCCGGCCAGCGAGTGGTCGTAGGTGGAGTGCACGCCGTACACCTCCTCGTTCTTGCGGAACATGTCGTTGGCGTCCCAGCCGTTGGCGCGGTGGTCCAGCTCCAGCTCGTCGAGCGCCGCGTCACCGTTCAGGGCGGGCGACTCGCTAACATCGCCGTCGCACGCGTCCCACGGCTCCAGTTGGCGCTCTTCCGCTACTCGGAAGTTTCCTGGGGGAGAATAAAAGGTTAGCTATGGCATCCAGATATTGGTGTTTTAAGTGAGTGTACTGAAAATGACTAATTTAACATTAGTTTGCTCATTTCCAAATGAGGAGCCAAACGACGTCTGCTGCTGACGAAAGGCTTCCACGATAACCGGTCCTGCGTGTTGTATAACATTAAGTGAGCCCCCCTTTTAAGTGAGCATCTACAATAAATCAATTCAAGTTCATATCAACATATCAGGCGAGAAGCTTTAGGTTCCTTCTGAAGAATAGTTTCAGATAAGAAATCACCTTGCTATCTGACTAAACACAGTGCACTCATGTGCAGCAATATCACTGTGACGATCGTCTTCATGTTATGCCAGTAAAGTTTTTACTAGAGATGAGACGTATTTACTAGAACAGATCCACACACTAGGTATTTTACAGTACTAGGCGGCACCTGTTCTAATTTTTAAAATACTTGATCCACCTAGTATTTTATAAATTACACGATTTCCGACCTTACTGTCAAAGTAATAGAGGTTATTATTGCGTAATCCGTAGTCGTGTATTACGCTCACCTAGTATTTCTCGCTAAGCTTATGTGCGAACGTAGAGATTCACTCCGTCTCTGACTGACCAAACAAATTTGAGCGCGACGAAGCAAACGCACACAAACGTAGTCAAACCATCATGTAAATAAGAAATATAGAAATATTTTTATGAAATTGATATCTTCTAATACGCCAACTTTTAAGTTGACAGTCCTAAGCCTGTTGAAGTATGAAGGGAGGAATAAAATTATTATTCAATTTCAAATTGCATTATTCATACTACGGTTGTATCTTTTCAAAGAAAATTGTATTTTAAAGCATATTACGTGGATTAGTCCGCACTAGTCGCGTCAAGTATGCTAAATTACTACGTACTAGGTGGAACAGGTATTTGGATCGAGTATTAATAAATACTAGGAATAGGTGCACCTAGTATCAAATTTACCTAGTATAACCCATCTCTAGTTTTTACACAGAATGTCAATTTAAAAACTCTCGTGATAGATATTGAATGAAGCAATCAGTACTAAGTCAGAACAATATGAATCCTGATTAACTTATAAGGACTAGTCTCACTCCTAGTTCAAATACAGCGATAACCGTACGGTTTGTGGGCACTTCTAAATAACAAGGTGTTTGAGGCAGTAACCGCGTGTTCAAGGTTTGAATTAAATATGCAGTAGAACTGCCCAGGATCCGCGCGGTAGTAATGGTCTGAACAATGTCTAAGACCTATGATAAACCAACATTAAAACAGTAACCTCCGTAGCACACCTCCGCCGCGAAACCATGACAGCGAAACTATTTCAATATACAGCTCTGAAATCACATCCCCACATTGGCAAAGTGGCAAAGTAAACGCAGAGATGTATATTGAAATAGTTTCGCTGTCATGGTTTCGCGGCGGAGGTGTGCTACGGGCGTAAACAAACAAAAAAGCGCACATTACACTTACTAGAAATAGCGCTGTCCGTCTGAAACACGTCGTGGGTCGCGTACTCCAGGTCCGAATCCTTGGCGCGAATGGAGACCACATCCTGCGGCTTGAAGATCAGCTTCTCGACCACGGAGTCCACGGCAACCACTCCCTCTTGGTCCACACGGTGGGCCACTTCTAGCACCACCTGGAAATAAGGAGAGGCCGTTTTTACTTCCGTTATTCTAAAGCAGTCTTTCCCAAAGTGGGCGACAACACCCCCTTGTGGGCGCTGCAGACTTAAAGGGAGGCGGTAAGAGTCCCAGAAAAAAAAANAAAAAAATCGGGACGTTTTGTAGAGGCTTGGGAGGCGTCATTTACTAGGAGGACTCTTAGACACCGACTGAACACTCGACACTCTGCTACAAATGGGGGCGCTAAAAAAAGAATTTATTCTCAAAGTGGGCAGTAGACAAAATAAGTTTGGGAACCGCTGTTCTAAAGCCATGTATTTATTAGGCAACATTTTAATGTTGATAAACACTGCTTGTTTATAAACTGTTCATAAACAATGTTTCATCATCTCTGTAAACAGTTTATAAACAGTCCATAAACATAGGTGATGAAACATATTTTATGATACATGTTGCAGTGTTCCCCGCTATGAGTGGAGAGCAAGTGTGGACGACCAAGTTTCAGGAACCTGTGTTTATGGTAAACTTGTTTCACACTAGTCATAAACAGTTTATCAACAAATGTTGCCTAATGAATACATGGCTTTAAATGGTCATAGATGCATTTATGCTTAAGGTTAGGTTTGATTTCTTAAGCTAGTTCTAATATTGCGTTATAGTCGAGTAAAAAATAAGTAGTTTAGGGCAATTTAGCAATAAATAATCGCAATGAAACGGCTCATTCAATGGTCCGACGAAAGACCACCGATTCGAGTGCAACTTAATTAATTTTAAAATACTTAGTTTGGTTTGTTGGTACCTTTGTGATTAGAACCGAAGCCTAAGTACTTTAAGCTATTAAACCATTTACACGTTGGATCTAAAGTAGTGTTTACCTATGGTGGGAGAATCTATCTAAGAGTAGGCGCACACCGTTGATTTTTCGTCGGCCGATAGTTTAGTCGGGCAGTTGATCAGTATGGGCATGTATGGGAGTGCGCACACTACGCCGATTCGATTTGGCCGATTCTTCATACAATTTAAAATCGGGCACAACTATCGGCCAACTAAAAATCAACGGTGTGCGCCTACTCTAAGCGCACCTATTTATAAAAGTTTATCGTTTTTGTTACAGCCTAAATAAATAAGAGCACTATACTCGCAGATATTTCGTTTTAGATAGCTATAAGCAACAATATTTTATGGTCTAAACCAGTCGCTTACGCGATCTTATTAATAATAAGAAGTAAGTAATATTAATAATGCAACAACGAATCTAATAACAACACGATGTGAGTAATTTAAAAACTTTGAAACGACTTTCGTCTATGAATCTAGTTTCAACTCAAGTGTAAAAGGAATCTTAAATTCGACTTGATATTGAGAGTTTTTTTTCGTAAAACGGCCCTTAAAATTACAAAGTGTCAAACGACATATTTATAATCATGATTGAAGTACACTTAAAATTAAATGAGAGCTCAAATAAGGCCAGGCAACTGAACTTTTAAGTGGCTAAACAAAAAAAAATCATCAATCTTACAACGCTTATTTTGTTCCTTTGCGTTTTTACCAACAGTTTTTCATTGTCAATATTGATAAAAATTAATAGTTAAGTATTACTTGCTACTTGGTAGGTAGGTATTTCTTTTTGTCATCAAAGTTTGACTGAACATCGTCTAACTACATATTGTGTAACAGAAATGTACGACAATGTTTTCGCGCGTCTTGCAATAGAATATATTCATAATTTACAGTAATTTAATCTCCACTGCAGGAGCATGGCCGTCCCTAATTTACCAGACGCTAATGGAGAATTTTGTCGTTGACTTCTCAGCACCAGCCCATGTGGTGGTAGGGCAAGCTATATTTGGGACGTATAAGCGCCCTGCGCACTCACAAGGTGGACCGACATCATAAAGGTAGCAGGAAAGCGCTGGACGCAGGCCGCTACCAACCGGGCAACATGGAAAGCATTGGGGTAGGCCTATGTTCAGCAGTGGACGTCCTATGGCTGAGATGATGATGATGATAAGCGCCATGTAAAGGGCCTTAAGTTTTTTTTATTTATGCTGGACAAGGCAGATATTTGACCGCAATCGCACCTGGTGTTAAGTGAGATGCAGCCTGGGGTGGTACAAATCTGCCCTGTAAGTGCCTATTCACTCTCGCCTTGAAAACGTCCGGATTATAGTGTTCAGGAAATACATCAGCAGGCAGTGAATTCCAGTCCCTAGCTGTTCGCATTATAAACGAGTCGTCGAAACGCTTAGTGCGAGCTGGTGGAATGTCGACAATGTAGGGATGGTACGCTAACCTGCGTCTGGTTCCCAGGTGATGGTAGTAGATACTGAATAACAACTTTGTCTACAATCCCATGCTGGTCAGACCTGTCATTCATATTTCTCAGAACAAAGTATCGACAGAATAGAGTTGTAGAACAAAGAAAATGTTAGGGCAGTTCAAGTGATGATAAAAAGCAACTAATTCTCGGAAAAATGGTCCGTATGTTTGTCGATAAGATATTGGCTTGATATTCTCAATGACTGTTTATCAGATTCTTGGGAATGACTTCGTTAGGATAAAGACTTCACTTGATAATGATGTATAATGATTATTTGAAGGGATTAAATCAAATAAAATCTATACTATTGAGGAAGGTTTAAGGCTATATAACATCACCATACAGCCACTAGGGGCGGAACAGTAAAGAAAAATGTTGCAAAAACGGGAATAAATATTATTCAAACTATATTCACGCGTACGAAGTCAATAATCACACACGTTACCACTTATCACAAATTATTATCCTTAATTTGGCATAGATGCTAATTTTATAAATGGTTTTTGTTATAACATACCATTTTCCCCGTATGGGATTCGAACCCGCTACCACAGGAAAACCACCATGCAAGGCTGGCTTTTAAATCAATTGAAATCAAATTCGCAGTTCAAACTTAGTGAAATATTGTCAACTGGGCCAGTTGGATGTATTCCTCTTAGAGCACCCGTCCAAATAGCACCTGGCCTATTCCACTTAGAGCACTTTTGGGCACGTGCAACACAATACAGTCTAGTGCTGGCTGCAAATGTCAGACAGGACGATATTGGGCGGGTACTTTAAGTGGAATACGTCGGCAGTTGATACCAAGATTTCTTGAGATCTTTTTCACGAGCTGTCAAAACATGTGCTCTTAATAAATTCGTTCGTTTCAGCCAAATGACGTCCACAGCTGGACAAAGGCCTCCCCCAAGGATTCTCGGATAACAAAGACCGGTCCTGCGCTGTCCGCATCCAGGTACTGTTAATTATGAAAAATCTAAAACGTTAAAATAACGGTATCGTTGTGGCCAATAAGATGCTGTCATAGTGACATTGACAATACGTCAATGTCACGCTAGCATCAAACGTGAGAATAGAGGGACGCGCGGAGACGACTCCGCGCGCTTTTGTGCTAAGTGATGAATCGTATCTAAAATAAGGCAATATAATGTGAAAGTTAAGTATCCAGTGTTTTATTTATGAGAATAGATCGACCGGCCTCTAATAGTACATACCGTTAGTAAATTTTGTATAGCAAATGGACCTTTGACTGACGTCACTGTTTCGCCAAGTCAAATTATTAATTTATCGAAGCAACGAAAATCGAATTTTATAGTTAATTGAGCTTTCACGGCTAAAGTGAAGTGCTCTTCAGGGAATTAAGGCAAGGCTTACTTGGAAACATTGGTTAATTACAGGTAGAAGAAAATGGAAGAGCTTTTTCACCCACTAGGCTTTATTTCACTAGTAAACAAGATGTTAGGCTGAGCAACAAACTAGGTCAATTTTAATATTTAGTGAACTTCCACCTTTATAAAATCACTTGTTGGGTTTTATTGGCGGTCAAGCTGTAGATCCTGGCTACACAGGAGTTGTAGCGGTGGGAACGAGAAGTGGGAATAGTCCCGTATTTATAAAATTAATTCATTATTTGTTGATTATTAGATAATGTTATATCTGTTAATTTTCATTTGCATCACCTAACTTTGACCGTAACTATGACGATAACCGGTGTTTTTGTATGGATTTTGACTGATTTTTGACGTTTGTCAAAGTTAAAGTAAGATGGTGCAACCCAGCCTTACTCTTTACTCTAGCTATGATAGAATTTCCATAAACAATAAGGTGACACAGACAAACAAATTGAGGTGAGACGGGGTTAAATGTAGCTACCATAAAATCAATTTCAAAAACAAGACAAACACAACTTTCCTCGATCTTACAGCAAGACAAGCGGAAATTTTCCGTTTTCCATCAAGTAACAGGTTGTCACGGTGTATTTTGCAATGCTAATCATATAAGTGCTTGCATTATACTAACGTATTTAAATTTAGTATACCTACTACTAGTTGTACCCGCGACTTCGTACGCGTGAAAATAGTTTGAATAATATTTCACGTTTTTGCAACATTTTTATTTACTGCGCCGCCCCTATTGACTGAAGGGTGATGTTGTATAGCCTAAAGACTTCCTCAATAAATGGGCTATCTAACAGAAAAATATTTTTTCAAATCGGACCAGTAGTTCCTGAGATTAGCGCGTTCAATCAAACAAACAAACTCTTCAAGCTTTATAATATTAGAATAGATTATAGTAGTAGTATAGACAGATTTACCATATTCAAATGCTCGTCTAGAGTATATTGTATTCTCATTTATTTGACAAGTTCAATGTAACATGCCCGTGAAAAGATCAATACAATCAGTTGACATAACAGACTGCTTGTTTAAATTACAATGAATAAGATTTAACACATTCGATGTGCGTAAAACCTTTCATAGTAAACGTGTGCAATAGCTTTTAATTTTACTATTATACCAAGACGAATAAAAGTTAAGACACATTAAATGGAAATCCATTAAGGCAGGTAACTAAGAAACGAGTGTAAAGATTCTAATTTATTATAAGTCTATGCCGCTAAGAAGAAGTCAACAATCTTAGGTAGGTAAAGAAGAAGAATGGAACGACCATCAAGAAGGGAGAACATAGTACGCA